GACCGTGGAAACAACAGTGGAGACAGACAGGGTTCCTGCCTTTTGCAGGGTCGATTCCAGAGGGGAAAGAGGGCACAGTAACGACTCCACTAAGACCACCCGAGGTACGAGGAGAACGACAACGACCCGCACACGCACGCACTGCACACTGACCACGTCCTGGTCCCTTCCCGCTCACTCCGCGCAGCAACCCTCGGAAGCGGGGTCCCTTTTCATCCCCATTGACAGACCCGGAGACTCTGGCTCAGGAGGTTAAGCCACCTGGACAAACTCACACGGCCTGTAAGTGGCAGAAGCAAGATTTGATTCCTTCTGTCTGGCTGCAGAGTGGACGCGAAAATGATTCTGATAATTAGCATGGCGTGATAAGGGCTGGGGCGGGAAACTCACTGTTCACTTAATACGATATCATTTTGCCATCTTTGAAGTGTTTGGTACGTTATGTGTTATTTTCACAGTGTGTGTGTACCCCTCTTCCGACTCTATGATGTAAACATCCCCAGTTCACGCTCTGGGGACATGTTATTTTCATAATACAAAATGCATACACACATACTGTGTTTATCACATCTGACTCAGCCATGTAAACACCCAAAGATCATCTTTTAGGGATACATTTCACATTCTTTTCTTTTTAAGGATTTTATTTCTTTGTTTTTAGAGAATGGGAGAGAAAAAGAGAGGGAGAGAAACATCAGTGTGTGGTTGACTCTCACACACCCCCAACTAAGGACCTGGCCCGCAACCCAGGCATGTGCCCTGACTGGGAATCCAACTGGTGACCTTCGGTTCACAGGTCGGTGCTCAATCCACTGAGCCAACCCAGCCAGGGCGTATTTCATATTCTTAATGGAGACAAGGCCACAGAACATTTCAAAGGTCGTTTAACTGAGCAATTAACAAAGGCAGCCATGATAACCACGTCCCACAGGTCACATGTAGCCCTCTCACTTGGCCTTCCCCCTCCTTGCCTCCCATCTGCGGACCAGAGTCCTGGGGCGTGGATTCCTGAGGACAGGCGCTCTCCTGACTTGCCCAGGGAAGATGCTCGATCAACCACTCAGCACACCGAAGGAAAACAGTGTGTGCGCATGTGTCTCTCAGTTCCAAGTCTGCAAGCTTCCTTTTAAATGACAGCAATTTGGGTAGTGTAGTGGGAGGGAGCAGGAGGACCACTCGAAGCCTCCGTTTCATAAGCTGCCAAGTCAATGGTCCCCAAAGCACGTATCACCTGGGTTTGTCATGAAGAATTTTTAAAAGAACAAAATAAAATAAAGAAAGAAGACTGTAAAACGTGCTACGGCCAGCGCCGGGCACCCGTAAAGGGTTCAGTGAAAAGTGGCAGCTCTGCCGCATGAAGTGCTTTACCCACATTCTCTCCAATCCTCTCATTTCACAGAAGAAGAAACTGAGGTTCCAGGAGGGAAGTGGCTCCTACAGTCTGGACAGGTGCGTGTGGGAAGGAACGTGACCTCCTGGACAAGGGTCTTCCCGCTGCCCTGGTCTCAGCCCTGAACCCGACCCTGCGATAGCCCTCCTGTCTGGGTATTTAGGGAGGGGGGCTGGGGCATGTAAAGAGAATTCTGGGTATACCAGTTATTATGCAGTTCTCCAAACGAGCTCTGCCTCTGCTGCTCTTTCTGCCTGGAATGTTCCTTCTCCCCTCCTTGCCTCTTCCTTCTCCTCCTTTAAGACTCAGGTCAAGTTGGCCACCCCTTCCACACACACAGGCTGGGAGACGGGCCACCTGCCTGGAACGCACCCTGAAGACAGGCTGATGATAATCATAGGCATCCCTCAGCAAGCACAAACCAGCACGGACACAGCCTGGTGTTTCCACACACTGGTTCACCTAGCTTACAGAACGAGCCTTTGAGAAAGGGGAGCAGCCTATCCTGGGCCCATTTTACAGATGAGAAAAACTGAGGCTCAACACAAGTACCATGCCCAAGACCACAGCCAGGAAGGGGCGGGGCCAGGGTTTGGCCCCAAATCTCCCTGGCTGGCTCCCCCTCTTTTCCGTCCCTGCTTTCTCCTGGAAGCCTCCTGGGATTTATCCCTGCTGCTGCCAGACTCACCCTTACCACCCTTTGTGGCTTCTTGACTCGCCCTCGCTGACTCCGAATATCCACAAGCTGCAAACTGAGAGTTCAAACCCCCTCTCTGCCCAGGCGGGCCGACGAAGACCTCCCGCACCACGGAGCCCCAGCCCGCATCCAGGGAGTATGGCGTCCCTGAGGATCTGGAGGTTTGTGCCCCTCCCTGGGCAGGCAGACCAGGGGTGTTTAGGAAGTTTTGCCAAATGGAATGAAATACTGACACTTACAATAATTAAGCCACTCCTGGGGGGGTTTCCTTCTCCAGATAAAGGCTAGGCCTCCGAGGGCTCTTCAGCTGAGTGGCTCTCTAAACAGAACGCTGACCCAGGTCTCTATCCAAGTCCGGTCCAGCATGACCTCTCACCTGGATTTTTCTAGCAGTCTCCACACTGGCCTCTCAGCCTTCCTTGCAAACCCTGTCCTAGCCAGCTTCCCACAACGGCAGGGCGAGCTTCCCAAACACAGATCTGACCTCGTCCCCCTCCTGCAGAAGAACTTCTGTAGCACCCACCTCGCTGCCCTGGGACAAAGCCCAAACCCCTGAGAATAGCTGACCTGGTCCTTGTCAGCCCCCCGAGCTCCCTCCTACAGCCAGGCTGGGCTGTTTCTCTTCCTGCCCATACCACCCACTCTTTCCACTGCAAGCCCTCCAAGAAACCACCACTCCGGACCTCTCCCCAGCTCAGGCCAGAAGGCATCGGCCCCTCTCCCCATCACAACTCTCCTCATCCAGACAATTGCCTCTTTTCACAAAGGCTCGACCCCTCCCTTAAGGATGTGGTTGCCAGTGTCTTGAAATACTTGTTGAATGAATGCATGAATGAATGAAGGAAGGAACATTTAAACTACTCTTCGGGGGCTCTTTTCCTCTGTTGGTTGGAGATGTATTCAGGTGAGGCTGACAGAGGAGAAATGTCAGGGCCAGACAGCGGGCTGCTCCAATCTCCTGCCAAGGTCGGCCCTGAATAACAGCCAGCCTCCCCCAGGACCTCCAAGGGGAACAAAGCCCCTCCAGCCTCAGAATTTCGGGGGAAGGCTGCACCCCCTACATCGAGAGCCAGCACAGCTGCCTCACAGGACTGTAGCTGATTGCTCCATAGCTAGAACGGAAAGGCAGGAGAACAGATCCTCCACTGGCCTGGGTCACACCATTTCTATAGTGCCAGTCACATAGTAGGTGACCCCCCCACACACACACGTGATCAGCTAGGTCACGTGCCCCGCTGAAACATGTGCCCAGACACCGTACTGAAACCCGGCACTTCTCTCAGGTAATTGCACCCTTGTCAAGCAGGCAAATCCTTTAAAAAGGATTCCCCTAAAACCACCAAGACCGGGGCTGGTGCCTGCCCAGCTCCCTCGGAACTGTCCCGGGGCTGCGATGCCAGCGTCTGGGGGGGAACGCATGTTTGTCCAGGAGCCCCGATGGATTAGCAAAGGGAAAGTGGGGCCAAGGGAGAAGCCTTGTCCAAACGCCCTGGTTACTGATTAGCCAAACCCCAGAGCTTCTCTCTGCAAGGAGGGGGGTGGGGGTGCAGAGGAACAATTAACCCCTTTGGAAGAGAGACAAAGTTGAGCATCTCTCTAGTCCTACAGTTTAAATAGGCAAGGGTCCCTGGAGCCTGCCCTCAAATGCTGCAGCGGAAGCACAGGGGCTGGATGTGGGAAGCAGGGGCCACAAATGAGGGCCTACTAGTAGCTGCAGAGTCCCTACCTGTTCCGCACCCAGCACACCTACTAATCCTGCCAGCCAAATAAGCGGATGGGTTGTGATCCCCACCCTCACCCCATTTTGCTCAGAGGGGAGACCTGGGCTTCGAGAGGTGAAGTGTATCGCCCAAGGTCACAAAGAAGCTGCAAAGAAAAAGCTCTTTCTTTGTGCAACAGGTAATAGCCCTTTCCTTTCCAAAGGTAATGGCTGCTCCCAGCTAGAGAAAGTTCAGGGCTGCGGCAAGAAGCCCCGGCCACCTACGCGGTTTGCGGAGGTCACACGCTCCGCTATGGCACTCAGGGCAGGGTTTCAGGGTGAGGCGCCCCAGCTCCTAGGCGAGTGTATACCAGGAGGGTGTGGAAAGGTCAGGTTCGGGTGGGGGTCAGTGGGCTGCCTCCCTTCCCAGGCGCCCCGCCTATACCCCAGGCGGCGCCACCAGCAGGGTGGGGACAAACCTAGCCGGCCTGGGAGCCGGGGAGATTGAGCCCGACACCCGTCAAGGTGCCTCTGCCCTGGGAAGGCGTGTGGAGCGGAGCGGAGCGCAGGGCAGGCCAGGCGGGGAGGTCGCATCCACAGCCCGGGTGCCCCGGGGCCCAGCGCGCAGTTCTCTCCACCGCCCCTGCTGCCCGCAGAATCCTTTTGCCCCGGGCTCCGCTTCGCTCGCTATCCTGTGTGTCCACCTCCGGGGCCTCCAACTCACACCAACACCCAGATCCTAAAAGCTCCGGGCTAGGTACCCCGGATCTCCAGCGATTCCTTCAGCTCCCGACCACCACATTTGCCCTTGGACCAGCATCAGGGGTGTAGAGAGAGACACTAGCTCCTAGTCTCCAATCACCGTCCACTGTCACCCTCAGGCTGGGAGCGAGTGGGACTCCAGGCCGCCGGCGCCCGATCCCCTCCTGGGATCTTCAACCCGGTGGCGCGGGATCTTCCCGCGGGATCCACTCCCAAGTCTCGGGAGACAGACTTCCCGGCTCCCACATCGGGATTCCCCCCTCCCGGCAGACCCCGAGCCCAAGGAGATCCCCGCCTCTTCCCCGGCCAACTTTGCCAACTTTTCTCACGGGGCCTCAGCCTAGCAAAAACTTGGCGGCCACCGCCAGTCACCGCCTTGCCAGCCCCTTCGAGAGCCCAGGACAGGGGGCATATGGCCGGCCCCCACCCACTGCGGCCGCCGCGCAACCTACCCTGGAGCCGCCTTCAACGCTGGCCCGCGCCGCGCCGCCACCTGCCCGCAGCTCGCCGCACCTGCCCTCGCCGCCTGCGGTCCCGCGCAGCCTAGCCTGCTGGGGGCGGGGCCTCAGGCGGGGAAGCGCCCCCCCGTTTCCATGGGAACCGTGGCTGGCAGCGCCTGCGCGGAGGGCGCTGGGGCGGAGCGCGGCTGTTCGGACCCTCGCTCGTCCCCGGTTCTGGGGGCCAAAGGGAGGTCGGGTGGGTCAAAGGTCGCGAGTCCTCCTGGGACACTCCTCCCGGAAGCCCTCCCCCATCCGGTCCCAGACCTCCCGAACGTGCCGTGCCCAACTTCTAATGTTGTTCATGGTCCCCGTTCGCGTTCCCCGGGCGATCCCCAGACCCCATCCAGGATCTGCCGCAACGGTCACCGACCCGCCGCCTGGTCTGCGCCCCCAAGAGCCTAAAGCAGCCGGGGACCTCTGGAGGCGCTCGGTAAAGTCTCACCCATTGAACTGCGGGGCCTGCAAGCGCCTGTCCGGGAGCGAGCGAGGCCTGCGTGATGCGCTGGCGCCCTCTCGCGGAGAACGGGGGACTGCACGCAGGGCTGGGGGCCTGGCCCCGCCGAGTTCCCTGCGCTCCCTCGTCTGTTGTGTGCCAGTCTCTGCCACGGTGTTGAGGTGGGAGCTGAGCGACGAGGCGTGTGTGTAGACTTTTGGACAAGATGAGAGACTCAGAGGAAGTCGCTCTGGAATGGAAAACGCCTGTTTTGTCATGCGTTACTCATTTCATTCCATAAATCTTTATTAAGCACCTACTGTATGCTGGGTGCTGGGGACACAGAGGTGAAGCAGCCTGCAAGAACCAGGCTCTGGTGGAGTTGACAGACATCATAAACAATAACTGCAAAGATTAATTGCATTTGTGACACGTGTTCCTAGGGAAACAAAAGGAGCGTGAATAACTAACCGAAGGACCTAAAATCATACGTGCATTTATTCTAAGTTACAGCTCAATAAAGTTAGAGAAGGGGGAACCTCACAGTGTGTGGCTGCAGAATGACAGGAAGCTCTCTTACCTCATGTTTGTGTGTATATGTGTGTGTGTGTGTGGAAAGGGAACTGTTACAGGAGATACACACCATATCCATTGTTTCATTGAGTCTGCACGGCCCACCTTTTGAAGTCACAGCCACCGGCCCCCTTTCACTGCGGAGCAACCTGAGCCTCCTTAAGACAGGGGTGTCAAACTCATTTCCACCGGGGACCACATAGGCCTCGGGGTTGCCTTCAAAGGGTGGAATGTAATTTTAGGACTGTATAAATGGAACTGCTCCTTAACTAGGGGCAAGGAGCTTGGCACAGGGTAGGAACAAGGTGCCAGGCTGGATAAAACCAGGTGGAGGGCCGGATTCGGCCCTCGGGCCTTGTGTTTGCTGTGCCCTAAGAGACTCGCCAGGAATGGCGAGCTTGAGGCCCCATGGGGTCTGATGCCAGGATCTTGTCCTTTATCATCTGGATGGCGTGAGCACAGTGATCAATACCGGGGCCCCACTCGGTGGCTTTTACACACAACTTCCACTCCCGGGGAGACGTCCGTGTGGCAGACGACAGAATGGTCGGGTTGAAAGCCAGAGACTCCCTCTAGCTCCGCCTGTAAGCTGGGCAAAGGCCGGCCGAGTCGTTGTCTACCATCGACTGTCCTCTCTTGAGCTCCTGTATTCACCGTGCCCAGCACGGGGCTTCGCACGTAGTACTCACTCACTCAAGACTGAGCTCAGAAAGATACTGGGTTAAATACGTGAATGACCAACAGCCGACGGAGTCCATCTGCTACCTCTCCTCCCTAACCTTCTGGGAACTCCTGCCTTTCCTGGGCCAATCCCAGTCAACCCCAATGTGTGGGCTGAGGGCTCTGGTTAACTGACTGTTCCCTGTCTCAGCTCTGCGGGCGACTCGGTCTCCCTTGGCATCTCCTCTCTCTCTCAGAACTGAAGCATGGAAGGGGAGCAGATAGCCCTCCTCCTGCCACTTGCCCCTGCAGAAACCCCAGACCCGGATGAGTTCCCAGCCCTGACCAGCCCAGCCCCCGCAACTCTACGTCCCCCAAGATGCCTCAGCCCAGCGTCAACGCTTCTACCCCTGTTGAGCTCTGAGGGGTGTCAAACCACAACTCCCAGAGTCCTCCTAGCCCCAGAAGAGGCAGGACTTCCTGGCTCAGTCCCGCCTTGGGTGATTCCCCGGGCATTCCTGTGTCCTCCCTCCCAGGTGTGACTCCCAGCCAGCACACACCCAGAGATTAGACTCTGACCAAAGAGGTATCAGGTTGTACATTGTTTCCAGAGCCTATACCCCACCCCCATTCCCAGGCCTGGCTTTTCTCTTCCTGAGGATAGAGAACAGTGTCACCCAGAGACTTTCCCAGAACCCCTTCTCTGCTGTCTTCTACCCCCTCCTCCAGGAAGCCTGTCCTGATTTGGCTGCCTGTTCGCAGACTCGCGCAGGCAGTCCTGTCCAACAGTGCTCTGCGCGACAACGGAGATGTCTGACGTCTGCACTGTAACATTAGCCACAGATGACTACTGAGCATTTGAAATGCGGCCAATGCGACTGAGGAACTGCATTTTAAATTTCATTCCATTTTAATTAATTTAAATCTAAATAGCCATTTGTGGCTATGGTTACCATATTGAACAGCACAGCTCTAGAACCCACACGCTCCTTGACGAAGGCCACTGTCATGCACATTGGGTAATGAGAGCCAGCGCAATCTTTGAGAAGTTTTTCCCAACACCAGACTTTTGCCCATGCCATGCCCTCGGGCGAACACTTCGCCCTCCACTGGCCCATCAGCTGTCACGACCACATATCCTTCCGCTCTGCGCTTGAACGTCGGCTCCTCTGAGAAGGCATCCCCTGCCACTCCGGCCCACCACGACGCAGCCCCCAATCTTCCAGCACTGATGACACTGTCGTGTCGCTGCCCAATTACTTCTCTGTCTCGATGTCTAGACTGTGAGCAGCTTGGGAGCAAACACTAGCCCAGAACCCGAAACAGAGCTGACACTCAATAAATGTTGATGAAATTCAACGTTGAATAAATGTTGTCATGTGATACCACCCAGCGTCTGGCTCGCAGCAATGATACTAATGAAATTTCTAGTTTATCGAGCCAAGTATTTGCCTGTGATGTCTCATTAAACACCACAATCGTCTTCTAATAGATGCTTCTATTATTTTTTAAAAGATTTTATTTTAGTTTAGAGCGAGGGAAAGAGAAAGAGGGAGATAAATATCAATGTGTGGTTGCCTCTCATGCTCCCACTTCTGGGGACCCAGCTTGCAACCCAGGCATGTGCCCTGACTGGGAATGGAACCAGCGACCCTTCGGTTCACAAACCCGCACTCAGTCCACTGAGCTACACCAGCTAGGGCCTAGATGCTTCTATTATTATCCCCCTTTTAGAGATGAGAGATCTGAAGCTCAGAGAGGTTAAGTAAATTGCTCAGGGTCACACAGCCTGGGTTCCCCCAGAAAACAGAGCCTGAGGCAAAACTTCTATGCTGATGCTTTATTGGAGATGTAACTGGGCCCAACAACAATGCAGGAAAAGGGACTGCGAGGCAGGACAGGAGGAAAAGCAAATTCAAAACATATGGAGTTGGCCACGACGTCTCAAAAAAAACACACCCAGGAAGTGTCTCCACAGGAGCCACTTTTTGAGAAACCAGGCAGGTGAAGCTCAAGAACTTCATCTGCTACGTGTCCCATCTCCTGTGTGCTGTTCTCCACAGTCGGACCCAACTGCTCCTCACTTCTGGGCTCTGATACCCGAGCCTCGGGGCAGCCACGAGGGGTGGCAGCTTCTTCGTGGGAGTCTGGAGGAGGAGGCAGCAGGGGCCCTCCCCTCCCCAAGCAAGAGTCCGGTCTGTCAGGGCAGCCTGGGTAACCTCTGAGGATGTCAGGAGACCGGGCCGCAACTCAGGCCATGTCACTGGAGGCTGAGCTGGCCATGGGGCTGCAGCCACTGGCCCAGGCCGCCTGCGGGGGGAGGCAGGTGGAGGCTGCGCAGTGTCCAGTGCCACACAGGATGCAGCTGCGTGCAGCTGAGAAGGGGCATCAGTCGGGCCTGATGCAGCCAGTGAAGCTCCGACCTGGGATTCAGACCCAGTTTCAGCTAACTCCAAAGCCCCTGGACAAACACTGATCGAAAGGAAACGGTGAATGACTGAATGAATGGGGAAAACCCTGGCAATCGCCTATTCCAGGTGTCCTTGTTTTATAGGTGGAGAAACTAAGGCCCAGAGAGGCCGAGGTGCGCTCGCCAAGGCCACACGGAGCGTGGCTGGCAGAGCTGGGGCTCGAGCCCCACCCCCAGGCTTCACCGGACCCTCCTGATTCTCTCCGCACCAACCGGCATGTGCTCGTTTGTCATGCCAGCATTTCTAGCACCTCTAGTTCTCACCCGCCAGCACCCATCCCTCACCCTCTGCTAACAGCACCTCAGTTTTCCTCCTAGAAACCACTCCGTCCCCCACCTTCACTCCATACCGTTCCAGTGGGGTGAACCTCCAGGCATCCCTACTCTCACCCCCCAATCCTAAGGTATAAGACCTAAGTGTGGCCAATCAGAACGTCCCATTTCCCTGGCCAGTGATTGGCTCATGGGTGGGCACATGATCCAAGTTTGGCCAATGAGAGTTCATCACAATATTTGCAGCAACTGTGTGCAGAGGAGCAGAGCACCCCCCGCCCCATCCCCCATCTGGGGTTGCTGAGCCTCAGAAGGTGAGCTTGGAGCAACCAGAGGCCAACTCCGAGAGAGCAGGTGCAGGAGAGTGAAGCCAACCCAGTGGAAAACAGCGGAGAGATGCAGAGGGAGAGGGGGTTCCTCAGACAGTGCCTAAAGCCGTACCCTAACCTGTTCGCTTCCGGAACCCCATGCATTTCTACTCGAGCCAGTTGGGAGTTGCCCCTCCAAAATGTCCAACAAAAGACAGAACAAGCACCCGCTCTGTGCCATGCCCTACGCTGGACGCTGGGGTCAAGACTTTTTCAGGCCCCGTGCCGGTCACTCTCTGGAAGTCCACAGCCCGCAGGGAAGATCCTCTGGAGCCAGAGAAACACGCAGATCTGTTCCCAGGAAGAGAGGCAGAGAGCGAGCGTGGAGGCAAGAAGGGCCACCCCTGGGTGCCACTGCGGCTCGGCAATCCCTACTCGTGCCTTCTCCTGCCCAGGGAACGCCACACCCTCACCCGTGTGGTTTGCGGCTGGCTTTTCTGTCTTTGCCCAGCTTGCTGACTTAAGGAACCAGGAAGAAATACACACACCCGCAGGGCTTATCACACACCTGGGCTTCGCTCACCAACCTGAGTGTCTCCTTCAAAGGGAGGGAGGCATCTTACGAGGTCACAGACGTGTGCCTAACACCGGAGCCTGAGCAGAAGAGGCCACGTGAGAGGGTCTCCCCCTGTCGTGTGGTGAGTCCGAAGGAGGACGGGTCAGAGGTCAGGAGGGAGCGGAGAGGAAGCTGCTAGCCAGGGGCCATAATGGGCCCTGAGAGTACATTCCCTCTTTGCGTGTGGCTGCAGCCGCGGGAGGGGCGGCTGCCCAGGCAGCCCCCGGAAACCGCTGGGGTGAGCGGTATTTGACTTTTAACTTAACCCTTTAGGGCTTAGGGCCCAGTCGGGAGGCCAATTCCCTGAGTGTAAGTCCCTAGCCCAACAATCGCTTCGGCAGGTGTAAAATTAGCCTTCGTTTTATCGTCTGTCAAATGGAAACTATGGTGTCACGACTTACGCCCCAGCAGCCATGGGGCTTATATGGAACAAGGTACTCCAAGTGTTTGGCGTGGCGCTTGGGGAGCACGCAAGAACTGCCGACCGCCGTCCACAGGCCGTGCTGAGCTGGAGGAGAGAATATTCAGTCCCTTGCAAGCTCCCCTGAGCTGGATCCCAGCTAATTGGGGCCCGGCCGGATGTGGTTTTGGGTTATAATGCCTCATTTAGCTTCCCGGGCACCTGGACAGTCGGCGTGATTTTCCCAGGTGACATTGAGCACATTATCTGGAGAACAAAACTCCTTTCAAGGTCAGAAACGCCCCGAGAGCCACTGGGGCGGCCAGAGAGAGGCAAAACCACGGGCATCCGTCGGCTCTGGGCTCCCCAGCTTCCTGGCTGGAATTACACCCCTTGGCACCCTGCCAAACCCCAAGGAGAGGCTGATTTGGGTGGAGGAAGGGGGGGGGGGAATCAATATTCCCTCATTCAAAGGGCCACATCTCACTCGCTGGACAGCAGCCACAAGGTTATTTTCAGCCCGGGAATAAGAAGTCTGCCACATAACTTTGGCCTACCTGCCCAGGCTTCTCCTGCCCCCTGCACCCCATACATGATGTCACCCCCTTTACCCTTCACCACCACCCCACCCCCATTTTCCGGAGAGCTGAGGGGACATGCCCAAGGTCATGGTGCTGGGGAGGGGAGGGTGTGGTCTGTCTGCTTCTCCCCACAACGTCACCCGGCCCAGGGACCGAGGCCACGACCACCTGCCCTGGGGATTTCTAATCTGCTTTCACAGATGGGGAAACTGAGGCCCAGAGGAGTGGGGCAAACTTGCCACAGTCACGCAGCTGGGAAACGGTAGGGCGAGTGGCCAGCCTCTGAGCCTGGTGCCATGGTTAAAGTGCTGGCCGGGCTTAGTGCCCCAGAGTGAAACCGAGGTTGAATGGACTGGCCTTGGGAAGTCTGCACAGGTGCCCTTGGCTGGGCTGGCAGCTCCGCTGCTTTTGACCTTGGGTGCCCTTGGGTAGGCTCAACCCTCGGGGCTCACTTCTGGCTATCAGTGCCTGCGTGGGCACACCACCCTCCTGCTCCTCTAGGACGGTGTAGGCAAACCTTTAAACTGACTCGCTTTTTCATTAAGATAAATTTTGATTGTAAATGGACAACCAGTATCGTGCCGCAAAATAAAACAAAACCACCGAGGCGAATACAAGGAAAGCCCCACTGCAGCCTCAGATGCTCACTGGACTCCGCTGTCTGCTCCCGTCTTTCTCAAGGGAGACACTGCCAAACAGCCGAGAGGGGTTTGAGACCTGTCAGCTTTGTCTCTGACGTGGAGAGAGGGGCCGAAGGAGAAGTGAGGACGAAGTAATTCCGGCTTCTTATGGTTGAGCGGCACTGAGGGCCGGGTCCGGGTGCCCCGAGTATCTCCCGTGAGGACCACCAAGGCACCGTGGCAGCCAAGATCTTCATCTGGAAAACTCTAGAGCAGTTACTCCCCAGAGGCCCCTGCCGTGCTAGGTTACATCCTAAACCCTCTGTGTGGGTTGCTGTGTGTGCTGGAGGGGCTGCGTGTGGCCGGGGAGGGCTCCAAGGCTTGGGGTTTCCGCTTCCAGAGCTGGTCAGGGCAACCCCCCCACCACGCCGGCCGTTAGCCTCTCCCATCGCATCACGAGGTCGAAGGGAGGCTGATGACCGGGGGCGTGAACGCAGGACCATCGGGACCTGGCTGGGGGGTGGGGGCGCCTTGGAAGCCCCCGTTTCTCTGCTTGCTCCGGAAGTCTCTGCCACTGACCTTGCTCGGCGACCCCCAGGTCACTGACACTTCGTGATGGGGGCCAGCGTGTGGGCAGCCCTGGGACTCGCCCTGACCTGCATCTCGGCCTTTAGCCTCATCTCCCCTGCCTGGTTCCAGAGCCCCACCTTCTCCTTTGGGGTCCTCACCTACTGTTCCTGGCCTCAGGGTGACAGCTGGAACCAGAGCTGTGGGACCTTCGGGTCCCTGGATGATATTCCTGACTTCGCCTGGAAGGTGAGTCCTCAGCCCCTCAGCTCACTGGGACCTCGGGGGCACTGCCAAACCCACGAGGGCAAAAGGAAGACAAGTTCTGCACCGCCAGCCCCAACCTGAGCCCCTGACTCTGTAGGTGTGGGTGGGGTCCGGCTACCTGCATTTCAGCAAGCCCCCAGGCTGGCTGTAAAAGCAGCTGTCAATTCATACAGCACACCTTTGCACAAATTTAGAAAAGGAGCCCCTTCTTCGGGGCACCATACCGCCATCTGCTGGAGAGTTACTGTAACCAACATGCGCATCTATGGGGATCTCAATGCATCTCGTAGAGCTGTGCAGCCTACAACCTGCGCCCACCTACCTGGCCCACCTCTAAGCACCACGGGGTTGGAAAACCACAGCTAAGGTGCTGGAAGGCTCTGTTAATGATATGCATTACTAAATTTGACAGTGGGGACAATGGGTCAGGAATCCCACTCCAATACCTCTAAGGAAGATTCTGCAGCCTTCAAAACTAATCATTACAAAGGTGCCTCTCCTGGTCATCCCGCCATATAGCAGGAAGTCGCTAGAGGTAGGCTATGGCGGTTGTAGATCTAGATCTTAATCCTGGCGCTACTACTTAATGAGTGGTGCATCCTGAGGCAAATGACTCTACCCCCCTGAGCCTCAGTGTGTCAACGTGTAAAATGGGGATGATAATAGCACAGACCTCATGGGGTTTCCAGAACTTGGTAGTTGGTGGGCAAGCAGAGGACGCAGCCTCCTGCCCCAACCCCACTCAACGCCCTCTCTCTGCTCTCTCCCTGGAAGGCTGCAGCTGCGCTTCTCCTTGGAGGCTGGCTCCTGTTGGCCTTTAATGCAATCCTCCTCCTGTCCTGGGCGCTGGCCCCCAAGGAGCTGTGCCTGAGGATGGGCAGCGGCAGAACGCCGGGCATGCAGGCCGCTGCAGGTAAGTCCGCTGTCACATGTAAGACATGTTTTGTGGAGTGAATGAATGATGAATGAAAGGAGGAAAAACCTGTGAGCGGAGGCTGGCCTCCTGGGTCCAGTTCCAGAGACAAACCCAAGGATGGCAGACTATCCCTGGTCCCTCAGCAAGCCAGACATGGGGGGAGGGAGGGAGTGATATCTTTAACATCACCCTCACCTGCCCTTAGCTAAGCCCAGTCCTAATAGTCTGGCCCCCTTTATTTCTCTCCTGTCCGTCCGCTTTGCATCATCCTTTCCTGGGCCACTGCACACGGCCGGGCGGGCTGTGCACTGCACCAGGGTGCCCAGCTGAGGCCGGAAGGCTGATGTAGCCTGTGCTCCCCCTGCTGAGCCGTGGGGTTGCATCTGCCCAGAGGGGCCGCGTTTCTCTGATGCACACCCGGTCTCTGGATGATCTAGCCCAGGCCTTGACGGCAAAGCATCTCCCAGTTAAAGCCTCATGCCCTGTTCAAAGGGGTCCTGTTAATGCTGAAATCAGATCCTGCCACTCAGACAGGTTTATCCACCCTTCTTTCACCTCCTGTCACACTCAGAGCAAAATCCGAACTCCTTACGTGGCCCATGAGGCGCCACCTGACCACCCCCCTTCTCCCACTGACCTCACCTCTTACCCCCTCTGCCAGGCCCAGCGTGCTCCGGCCTCCCCGGCTTGCTGTCTGATGCTCATTTACACCAGCCTGTTCCCTCTGCCTGGAATCCACTGTTCTCAGGTCTTCCCCTCTCTTGCTTCCCCACTTCATTAAGGGCTCTGCTCACGTACCACTGCCTCGGTGAGCTCCCCCTCCCGACATTCTCCTGTTTACTTTGCTTTAAATCTTACACAGCACTTACTACCTGGAATCTCTTATGTGCTCTCCTGATTGTTGTCCATCACTCTCCACCTGAATGCCAGCTTCGTGAGGATGAGAGTATGTCTGTCTTGATATCACCAGCACCCGCCACAGTGCTTGGTGCACGTCACAGACACTCACTAACTATTTGGTGACTCAGTGTACGGAGATGCAGGGCTCATCCCAGGCTCGCACAGTGGTGCGTGGTGATGAAGCACATCAGGCATTTACAGCTCAATGGGGATTCCACACAACAGGGATAAGCACAGGGTGCAAGGACAAATCCCGGGATGGTGGAGGATGTTAAGGAAGGCTTCCAGGAGGAGGCGTCACTTGAGCTGAGTCTAGGAGGACATGTGGGAGTTAGCAAATGTTGAGGGCATTTCAGGTAACAGGAACATCAGCGGCAAAGGCATGGGAACAGGAGAGCAAAGCGAGAGCAGGGAACTGCGGGCAGACCAGTGTGGCCGAAGAGCAGCAGGGGAGGCTGGGGCGCGTCTGATCCTCCTGCACTGGGAGTGCCCAAGTGAGGGGGATCTGGTCCCTCTCCTCGGTGTCGTCAGGGCCCACCACAGCACCTCGGACGGTTCTGATGAATGAACGGTGGACTGGTGAAGGGAGGAATGAGTGGGTGGGTGAGAGGAGGAACTGACAGAGGATGATGGCTGTACTAGTGGACAGATGGATAAGGAAAGGGGGGACTGGAATGTGGTTGCATGAAAGATGGGGATGGATGGATGGTTATGGGGGACAGGTGGCTAAGTGGGCAGGTGGGTGGGTGTTTGAACAAGGCAGATAGAGGGATGGAGCGAATGAGTGGATTAGGGTACAGCTGAATGGACGGATAAGGTGCGGGGGTAGTTGAGTGATGGGTGGATAAAGGAAAGATGAGTTTTTACGATATTAACTTTGCATGGTGACAGACGGCTACTAGTCTGAATTGTGGTGATCACATCATATGGTACCTGCATGTCAAATCTCTATGTTGTACACCTGAAACTACCACATTGCATGTGAACTATAATAAACAAAAACCATTAAGGATAGATGAGCTGGTAAATAAGTGAATGGACAGATGAACGGGGTGGGGTGGACAGGAAGGCAGGTGAGTGAGTGAGTCTTGGGACAGAACGTGAGCCCAGTGCCCCCCACCGACACGCTGGTTTTCCTTCTCGCTGTCCCCAGTGACCACTACCGTTGTGGGCCTGCTGGTTTTCCCCATCAGCCTGGCCTCCCCGTTCGCCAAGGAGGCCTGCGGGACCTCCTCTGTGTACCGCAGTGGACAGTGCCAGCTGGGCTGGGGCTACGTGACCGCCATCCTCAACGCCGTCCTGGCCAGCCTGGTGCCCGTGATCAGGTGGCTGAGCGTGACCCAGGTGCGGGGCAGGGCCATCCACTTCACCAGCAACACGGAGAAAATCACGGTCATGCCCAAAGGGAGCAAATAAAATTTTCCCAGGAGGAGGAAAAAGAGCCCATGCTATAGCTCTATGGAATCGCCACACCCCGGGCTCACATCCCACTTCCACTGCTCCCCGTGGCTTCAGGCCCGCCCCTCACCTCTCCTGACCCCAGTGAGTTCTTCTGGAAAATGGGGAGGTAGATACTGCCACCTCGTCTGGTGGTTATTTTGGGAACTCAGGGACCCTGAGGCCATGACTAGGAAATCACCCCCCTATGGGGTGACTGGGGTACATGGTACACACACTGCATGCAAAACGGCCTCACTTATTCTCCTGCCTAGATCCACACCCCTTTCCAATGTCAGTTTTCAAAGCCTCCCGCCCAGTGGTGGGGTCTGCTTCCCGGTTGCCAGAGTCGGAGCTCGGCCAGGAGACTACTCTGCCCAAGAGAATGAGTTGGGAATGACTTGATGCCCATCTCCAGCCTGGGCCTCGAGAGGCCATGCACCCTTCTGCTTGCTCTCTCAGGACCTGCCATCGTGGCCATGGAAACAAGCCTGGGGTGCCTGCTGGAGGACAGGCACATGGCCCAGCCTCCCCCGTGGCCCCGGCCAGCAGCCTGCCGAGTATCAGAAGCCATGCCACCCAGCCGGCTATCGGCTGACCCAGACGCACGAGGAAGTCCAGCCGAGGTCAGAAGAACCCCCCCGCTGAACACAGTCCGTATCATTGACATGCAGAATCACAAGCTAAATAAACGTCTATTCTAAGCCACTGGTCTTGGGGTGGTCTGTCAGGCGGCGTTATCTTGGGAACCGCTAAGCTGCAAGGGATGAGAAGTGACTCATCTGCCTTGAACTGTGTGGGCAGAGACCAGGCAGCTACTGTGTGACTCCGCCCCCACCCGGGGGCTGAGTCGCCACGGTGGGAGGGGGCGGACAGAGTCTCACAAACAAACCTTTCTTTCTTCCCAGTGAAAAAAGAGAAAAAAAAAACTCCCCCAAACACAGAAGCAAAAATGACCCGGATTCACACATTTTGCCGTTTATATGTATTTTCTCTCCACACGGACACAACTTTTCAGTAAACAGTTACGAGATGTGCTGGTAACACGGAGAAAAGGAGGGCGCTCCGGAGACGGAGCGGCTCCCGCACGCTCAGACGACACGAGGACGCGGGCGGCGGACGCAGAGCTGAGTGGGCACGGCAAGCTGAATAAATAGGAGTCGTTCCGAACCACGAGCGCGGACGTGTCTCTGGGACCCCACGGGAGAAGGCAGAGGGGAGTCTTGTGCTGTGCTGTGCGACCACCCCGCCCAAAACTGAGAGTTGGGAGACCTAGGACCTGGGTCCTGTTAAGGTAACGCCCCCTGCAGTGAACAGCTGTGCGGCGAAATACTCTTTCCTCTTTTCCTCTGGAGAGGCCTTTCGCACGTTTTTTCCCATCTGGGGAGGTTGGGGGTCCGGGGTGAGAGGATGTGCAGTCTTCAGAAGCAAGGGCCCTCTGGGCCTCAGCCGTCCTGCCCAAGGGCCCCGCTTGGGGGAAGGAGGGGGTTCGGATGCGGCTGGAGGTGCTGACGCAGGGAAGAGCCTTCGCCAGCGCGCAGGGCAGGCCTTCCCTGTCCTGGTTTGCTCGGGGCTGCAGGCCCAGCGCCCCCCCCGTGCAAAAGCCTCAGGGCACTTTCCGTGTCTCCCCCACCTCCCCACAACCCTACCTGCCGCTCTCTGGAAGAGCAGTGCTCCCTGACTCTGTTTCTCCCGACTCTGGAGCATTCGCAAAACAGAACTGGCAGGACCGCTTTCCTGAAGGACAGGTGGGCAGGTGGGCAGGTGGGCTACCTAACTCGGGATCTGTTTGTGGACGGGCGACCCTCCGTGAGAAGACACGGCAGGGACCGTTTCCACACCTGGCCGCTGTGGAAAACACACCTGTACACCTGTGCCCTGGCTGACCTCTGTCTTCCTCCTCCGTCCTGAGTGAGCAAGGGCACTTGGGGAAGAGCTGGCCGCCCTGACCACACGGCTTCCACCGACACTCGCGCTCTGAGCTCCTGGAGCACCGGACCCAGCGTGTGGCAGGAGAGGCACGGTCCTTCTGAGGGGCGGGGGGCAGGGATTCTGCCCTGCCCGGGGCTCCGGCCGGGCTCAGAAGAGCCTCTTACTGTCTCACGCTTGCAGATATGTCTGCGGTCCCAAAGACACCTTTCTTGACAAGAAGAAAAGAAGCTTCTCCCGGGGCAAAGCGGAGGAGAAGACTGAGAGAATACAACGAATGGAATCCCACACCCCCGGGCGGAGGGGTGTACAGGACTCTGTGTGCTTTTTCTAAGTGGGAGGGGCCTGGGGAGAGAAGGGCTGGGAGACACACCGGCAGCCCCTCCTCTGAGCCAGGAGGTCTCACACGTGAGGGCATCTGGCGATATCCGGGGGCACTCTGGGTTGTCACACCTGGGGTGGGGAGGAGGGTGCTGCTGCCCTCAAGCCGGCAGAGGCCGGGGATGCTCGCGGCTCAGCACCCTGCGGTGCACAGGAGGCCCCCTGCCCCGGGAAGGGCCCGGCCCGAGGGTCAGTAGTGCCGAGGTGCAGAGACCTCCCTGCTCCAGGCCAACCTGCCAGCCATGGGCCTGCGCGTCTCCAAAGGCCCCTTTCAGCGTCTAGAGGTGGCCCCACGGACACCTCCTGTGCCGATTTCTCACACAACTCCATCCCCAAGACCCACTGACACGGCGGTTTGGAGGGGCGGGGGAGGGGAGAGAGAGGAGACCGCTCCGGAGACCACAAAGACGTTTGTTCCCTCAGTCCACCAGCTCCCGCGAGGGAGAAACCCCACACGCGGGCGATCTTTGGTCAAACAGGAAAACGTAAGGCTGAACTCGGGGGACCCCGCCCCCCCGTGACCCCCGTGCCTGGCGGCCAACGTCGGGGCGGTTTCTCTCTGCAGAGACGTCCAGGCTCACGAACACGCCCCGGGACCTCACTCCCGGGAGGCCGGGCAGGAAGAGTGGGCAGGACAGGCGGGTGGCCTTCACTTGTTCTCAATCAGGGTCTGCACCTTGTACACGAGGTCCCGGGCCAGCTTCAGGACCTGCTTGGTGTTGTGTCGCTCGGCCATCTCTGAAAGAGCACAGGGCAACAGCTCATGAGCCGCCTCCTCTGCCCATCCTCAGGACACACCGCCAGCACCCTCGGGGGTCTCCGGGCCTTCCCCGCCACTGTCGCCTGGTGTCACCCCCGGAGGGGCTCTTCCGGCGAGACCTTGGGGACGGCCAGCCCCTCTGGACCTCAGTTTCCTCATCTGTGAAATGGGGATGGCGACAGTGCCCACCTCACGGGGTGACGCTGGGTCAGCGTGTGCCTAAAAAGGTTAGGTCCCCCATCCCCTTTCCACAAATGCAGTGACTGGGGGCTATTTCCGAAAGCGATGCCGGGCACAGCAGATGCTCACACTTCCAGAAGGGAGGACGTGACGGCAGGGGAGGGGAGGGGAAGGGAGGACAGAAAGTAAAGTGAATTAATTTCATCAAGAGCCTCACAAAATGATCCGATCTTAAAGGCAGAATAACCCTAAGCTGGGACATACATCAGAAAGAAGTCACTTAGCAGAAGGAAAAGGCGGTAGGACCCTGGCTCCGGAACGGGGTGCTGAGGTCTCCCCCAGTGCCACTGTGACCCCGGGAAAATGTGCAGGGAGACGTGGCAATGCTCCCCGTCAGCTGAACCGGCTGAACCGCAGGCACGAGTTCACAGACTGCATCGCATCCCCGTCGGGGCCCTTACAGCTGCGCATGGCTGGGCTTCCAGGGAGCAGCTGCCGGGACGAGGCAGGGCCAGCACCGCGGGGAGGTCACGGCGGCCCGGGGAACGGGGTGCCCACGTGCGGCCAACTCCAGGTGTGAGAAGCTGCGCGATGCCCGACAGGTGCACACACACCCCCTTGGGAACTGTACTTATCTAAGACTGGAATAAAAATTCTCTCTTCTTTTGAGTTATATGTATTACTTTTTCAAACGGCTACTACGTTGTTAGGATGTAAATACTTCCGTGGTTCGAGCCTAACTTCACGCTAAGGGGAACTTTTGGCCCGAGGGGCCATGCGCTGAACCAGGGCAGGGGCCTCTGCGGTCAGTGAGGAAGCGCTGTGGGTTCTCGATCACGCCCTCCAACACAGACAGCCCAGACGCCCAGCAACAGGGCGTCGTCAGTAAGTTAGACAGTCACTCAAGGCATATTCTGCAGTCTTAACAAGTGATTGTAAAGGCGGCAGTTTTAAAATGAGTAAGTGGGGAAAAAAACTAGTCACAACTGGGTTCTGTGACGGCAATAACATAAAAATATCCATGACTATGGAAAAGTCTGAATGGAAAATGATTTTTTAAAAAATGAGCCTACTGCATGTCATGTGGTTTCCCGGCTTGGATCCTGGAGCACAAGAGGACAGGGAATACAAACTAGGTGAATCGATCAGGCCTGCAGTATAGTTCCCAGTAACGGGTCCACATTCATTTCTTGGTGGAGAGGAGGGCACCAGCACCAGCTGACATTAACATCAGGGGCGGCTGGGGGAAGGGTATCAGGAACACTCTTTGGACTATATTTGCAACTTTTCTGTACATCTACAATTATTCTAAAATAAAAAGCTTGATTAAAAAAAATGCTTCCAGGGGAGGGTCGTACATGGCTTTTTTCTTCTTTTGCTTTTTCCAAAACCAAAGTTTAGTAAAAAAAAAATACAAAACAAAAAACCAAACACACACACACTGTAAATAATAACAGTAACAACAGCTTCTGGCTATGGGGACGCTAGTACGAGCCAGGAATCACATGATGGGCTTTATTCCCGTCCTATTTAATTCTTCTGATGTCTCTGCGATTGAGGCCGCGGCATGCGTTTATGCCCCAGGAAGCTGAATCCCAGGGACATGCAGTCACTTGCCCGAGGCCCCCCCCCCGGTCTCCCGAGGGGCGGAGCCGGATTCAGAACCCACACCTTATCTGGTTTCTGAGGCCTGCCTCTCTCCCGTCACTTCAACTGCCTTCCTTTTCCTGCCTCTCCTGCACGTGTCGGCCCTCTGATGGAGACGGACACTGTCACCCCATTTTACAGATGGGAAAGCAGATATCCAGAGAGAGGGTGAGTGACTGGTTGGTGGCAGAGCCAGGGTCTGCCCCGAGCCTGATTCTAACGCCCTACTCCTTCTGCCAGATTCCTGAGGAAAACACGGCCTTGGCATTACAAGGCATCGACGCATCCATTTGGGAAGAGACACAGGAAGTGGACAGAACCCCCCACCTGACCCCCTTCCTCATGCGTCAACGTCAGTAAATCCCCGTCCCACCCGAGGCCCCAGGAAGGGGCCCTCTAGGAGCCCACACCCCTCAGAGGAGTCCCCCCCGGTGGTCATGTGGGTACCATTAAAGAACTTGATGATGTCTGTGAAATCCATGTTGTTCTCCAAGATGATGTCCCGGTAGACCTCCACCAGAGCCAGCGCGATGAACAGGACGTAGTGGGCGGACGAGACGTGCTTGGCTGCCCAGATGGTCTCCCAGACAGAGAAGACGTCATCATAGATGAGCTCTGCGGAGACACCAACGAGCACATGCACGGGGAGGGGGTCGGCTATGGAGCTCATGGGGCTGCCCGCCCTCAGGGAAGATCCCAGGCCAGCTGTGCTCCGAGCTTCTGTCCTGGTGCGGCGGACAGAGCTCAGGCCGGGAGCCAGGACACCTGGACTCTGAACATCAGAAGCCTCAGTGTTCCCTATCCGTAGACTGGGCAAAGCGAATACAGTGAGTGGGAAGTGTCTACCTCTGACATCCTGCAAGTGGAGAAACTGAGCGTGTGCAGGTTTAACGCTGACCTGTCCCTGCTCTGCCCCTTGACCAATGTCCCCCTCTCTCCCTGCACCCTCCCCCATCTCTTCTAACACCCACGGGGCCACCTCCCCTTCCCCCTGCACACAGAGCTGGCCGCTGCCTCTGGGTCTAGGGAAGAGAGAGCATGGACCAGTGGTTCAGAGCAAGACTTCCTGTGTCCAACAGACTCAGTCTGAATCCTAGCTCCATCTCTTACTGCCAAGGTGACCTTGAGCTAGCTACTCTCTCTCCTCATCTCTCAGGCGGCGATGCTGACCATAGCAAAAGAATAACGAGATAATACACAGAAATGGCCCAGCACTGTGCCTGGCACTTAAGGAGGCCCTCCATGTGTGTTAGGCATTATCCTCAGCATCACCCCAAGGTTGTGAAACAGCAAGGCACTGCACTATACGTGACTTTTAGGTCCCATGTGAAACATGCTTCAAGGGCTTCGGAGCTCTCGGTCTCCGATAAGCAACAGAATAGAGTGGAGGAGACTGGCCTTAGGAGGTGGACAGACGGGGCCTAGATCCTGGGTCTACTCCTCCTTGCTCTGAATTAGACTTTTCTTGGCCTCAGTCTCCTCATCTGTACAATGGGGACTGTAACCAGACCTGTACCGCAGGATAAGGCAGGTGAACCAGCCATCAGCATTCAATGCATGGGCGCCTCTCTCTTCCCCCAGCTTCTGCTCGGTGTATCTTTTCCTCCTGAGGTTCTGCTACAAAGAGTCTGGGAACAAGGCCCCAGTTGGAAGTCTGTACCTCGCTTGAAATCCAGCAGGAACCAGCGGTAGCAGAAGTAGAAGTGAGTGTAGTCGCCATTCTGATGCATCAGCTCAAAGAGCTCGGAGTCCAGGATCTGTCAGGGGAAGCAAAGGCCAGACCAGAGGGACAGCTGAATAAATGACAGTCCGTCCCCACACCAGACACCAGGAAGCCCTTAGCAACCAGTTGGAGTTAAAAAGAGGGCAAAGGGTTTGAAGTGCAAATCAACCTAGCTGAACCAAACACAGTCATTACCCCCCAGACAGATATGCAAATGGCCCATATGCACAGGAGAAGCACACAATGCCATGAGTCATTAGGAAAATGCAAATCAACATCCCAAGGAGATGCCACTTCACACCCACTAGGTCGGCTACGACACACACACGAGTGACAAGACGGTAAAGCGTTGGTGAGGATGTAGAGAGATGGGGAGCCCTCTACATTGTTGGTAGGACTGTACGATGCTGAGGATGAAGGTGTGCTCCTAGACACACCCCCAAGGGAAGTGAAAACCTACGTCCACATGAAAACTCGCACACGACTGCGCAACATCATTCCTAACAGCCAAACAGTGGAAACGACCCAACATCTGTCCACGATGAATGGCTGAACAAAACACGGTCTGCCCCCTCGATGCAACACGACAGGGGACGTGCCAGCACACGCCCACTGTGGGCGAGCTGGGAGAGCATTGCGCCCAGCGAAAGCAGCTTGACGTGAAAGCCACGTATTGCAGGGACCAGCGGTTGCCGGGGCCTGGGGAGAGGGGCCGATGCTACTGGGCACGGAGTGTCTTTCGGGGACGATGAAAGTGTTCAGCACTCACGTGGTGCTGACGGCTTCACAACTGTGAATGTTCTAAAGACCACCGAGTGGAGCATTTAAAAAGGGTGCATTTCGTGGTGTGTGAATTGCATCTCAATAAAGCCGTGCGCGTCTGTGCGCGTGAAACACACCCAAACATCACTCAGAGGAAAAGGACCGACGCAATCAAACATCCTTTTGAAGAGCCGGGGCCATGTCTCGGTCACTGTGCGGTCACAGTGCCTGGACGGAGTACACGCTCACTGGGAATGAATCTGGTAGAGCTGATTTGAATTGTTAAGTTAAGGTTGAGCTCAGCCGAGTTTTTCAGTTCAATTAGGAGTTAAGTTGAATGGAGTTTCTGAGCTCAGCTCACCTGGCTGGGCTGGGCTGAGCTGAGCTGAACTGAGACAGGTAGGACTGAGCTACTGGGTTGAGTTAAACTGGGCGTGGCTATTAAGTGGCCCTGAGGTCTGCTGGGTTGAGGGGAAGTAAGGTGTATTACTGAACAGGACTGAGTCATACCTGGATCAGGGACCTCATGTTGGCAAAGTGGGTGTCCATGGCGCCTCCGTGGGGGAAGTTCTGGTTCATTCTCTTCATGAGCTCCGTGAAGCAGCTGAAGGCGAGGGCCTCTGGGGAGGAGCACAGGAGATGCTGTTAGCTCCGCCCCTGCCCAGGGACCCGGAGGCCCCAGTGGACGGTCTCAGGGGCCCGAGCTGGTTCATATTCGTCAAGGACACTGCTCTGCAGTTTTCTCACGGCGTGCTCGTCTGGCGCTGGTGTCAGGGCACTGATGGGCCCTCGTGTAAGGACTGGTCTCACAGAAGGAGCGGAGAAGTACTCCCTCCTAGTCTGTTCCTTTTGGAAGGGTTTGGGAAGAACTGGTATTCCTCCTTCTTTAGGTTTGGTGGGAATCACCAGGGAAGCCACCTGGGGCTGGCTTTGCTCTCACTCATGTTTGTGCCATCAGTGGCTAGCAAAGGCCTGGCTGGGTGTTGGGCACTAGGCATCACGCCGTGGCCATCAGGGAACGAGAGGCCTTTTTGCTTTACGAGGACCTTGAAGAGCTCACCAGGCAGGTCTTCTGGGCACCCGAACTGACCCCTTCCTTGGACTCACAGAGGGAAGTTGACCACCCTCCCCCGCAGTAAGAAGGACACTTGCACCCCCAGCCCCCGGGCGGGGAGGACACACTCACCGTCATCCAGAATGACCAGCAAGGGAGCCAGGAGGTCACACATGCCCTGGACGTAGCCGATCTCAATGTGCTGCCAGATGTAGCTGTGAGCGGGATGCAGGGGCTCAGCGCGGACGCCCACGACCTGCCTCCCCAGCCCGCTCCCCCGCTGCGTGCTCTGCGGTCCGACCCCTCGCGCCTCACCGGGACCACTCCCTCCTCCCCCTGCCTGCATCCTGTACCCAGTCTCACGCCCTTCAAACATCACATGCTCAGCCCCCAGGATGGCCTTCCTAAACTCCTGCATGCTCAGACACCCTCCCCGGCCCCCAGCGAGTGACAGGCCAAGGCCCACACTCCCCAGGGGGGAGTACAAGGCATTGCCCGTCTCTTCCCAATCCTTCTGCACAGTTTCCCCTGTCGCTTCCCTGTACTTCTTCCTCTCTGCCACACGCAGGTCTTCACCTTTGCACAGATAAAGCGCGCACTCACACCCCTGTGCTTTGGCCCCAGCAGTTCCCTCTGTGTGGAATTCCCACCTGTCCCTGAATAACAATAGCTACCCTTTACTGAGCACTTACTGTCTACTGAGGGCACTATACGTGTACTGCATCATTTAGTTTTCAAAGCAACCATACGGAAAGGATGCCATTTCACCAGTGGCGTTAGGCACAGAGTCATATGCCTAATAATAACTGACGGAGGCACATTTTGAACCCAGATGACTTCACCCCCGGGTGTGTGCTCCTAACCTGTAGGCCAAATGGTTTCTTCAGTTTCTCCTAATTTTGCCCAAGTCCATCTCGAATGTCACCGCCTCTCTGAGGCCTTCCGTGATTTTCCCTGATGCCATAACCAGGCAAAAATCAGTCTATCCTTCCTTTCCCCCAAAGCACTTTTTCATTTTAATGTAACATCATATTGGTATCTTCTAGACTAAATTTTGGGAGGCAGTGATTGCTTAGTTAAGAGGCGGTGCTTATGAATGAGTTAGGGCAGGCGTTAGTAAACCTTTTTGGAGAGGTCCAGGTAACAATTATTGTTAGCTTGGTAAGTCATGTCTTCTCTGGCTCAACTACTCAACTTTGCAAAAGCAATTCATATGCAAACAAACAGGCCTGGCCGGGTTCTAATAAAGCTTTATTTCTAGGACCAGGTGATGGGCTGTTAGCATGGAAAGAAGTCCAGGATGTATTATTGAGTGCAAAAAGCAAGTTGTAGAAAAACAGTTTGTAGTATAACCCCATGTAGGCAGAAACTTTAAAACATGTATGCTACTATATTATATATCATGTAACAGCAGTCCCCAACCTTTTCAGCACCAGGGACCAGTTTCGTGGAAAACAATTTTTCCATGGACGGGGGTGGGGGACGGTTTCGGGATGATTCAAGTGCGTTATATGCAAGTTCACCTCCTGTTCTGTAGCCTGGGTTCTAACAGGCCTGATGGGTACCGGTCCACGGCCTGGAGGTTGGGGACCCCTGTCATATAATATACCATCTATTATATATGTTTTATATTTAAGTATATATATAAATGTGTATGTGTATGTGTGTGTGTGTGTGTGTGTGTGTGTGTGTATATATCTCTGGAGGAATATTCCCTGATACATTAGCAGTAGTTACTTCTTCTGGGTGAGTGGCACACGGGAAGAAGTTTCTCTTTAGACCTACAAACTTCCAATTTCCTTGGCTGCCTTAGGTTTTTATCAAAGTATAGAAATGATCCCTGAAAGTATAGTCTTGACTTAGACTTTTAATAAGCATGGGTTACTTACCTATTTTCAGAAATAAAGGTAATAATTCTGATGAAAAGTAGTAAGTAGCCCTGGATCTTGGCTTAACGAAATAAAGCACAGATTCTAGGGCCCGAGAGACATGGGGTGACTTCCTGCTCAGGCCCTGCCCAGCTGGGGGGCTGGGGGCGATGCAGCACCCCTCTGAGCCCCCACTCCTGACCCGTAAAGGGGGCTCATGCTTGTCTCCTAGGCTTGGAGTGAGGACGGAGTGAGATGATATCCGTTAGAGGATCTGGTGTGCGGTTAGTGCCTAATAAATGTCCTCTCTTACTATCACTGCTGTGATTGGCGTGCTGTTGTCAGCGTGGGCCGGAATGAGATCCCAGGTGGGCAAGGTGCACGCTGAGAGGCTGCGGTTGCAGGTGGGCTCCCCGCGGCCCTCGCCCTGCCAGCCCCATCGGGTGCCCTGCCGCCCCAGCCCTGCCCCCGCCCCGGCCACCTGCACATGATGTTGCGCAGCTTCTCCAGGTTGGCGGGCGTGAAGTACCAGTAGTTGCGGTCACACCGCTGCACGTCCTTCTCAATGCGGTGCAGGTTCACCGTGTACAGGTCCAGCAGCTCCGGCTGCGTGCCCACGGGGGAGGGGAGGAGAAGAACAGTCACCCACGGCCCCTCACAGAGGCCGTCTGATTGAAGTGGTTCCCCCTCCTCTGCAACCCGCCTCTGCTGTCACTAACGCCAACATCCTCTGCCCCGGGGGGCCAGCCAGGTGTCTGACTTGGTCTCTGTTGTTGTTTTCTAAGCAAACCTCTTTCACTTTGGATGATGAACACTCTTTTAATTTTTTTCTTTGATAAAACGGTCCTATAAGGTACATGGACTTAGCATCCCCACCTTATAGATGGATAAACTAAGAGAGAGTTACAACTGCAGCTGGAAGGGAGTCCCTCTCTGCTGGAACCTGCTCGGGAAGAATGACAGACCTGAACAGAAGCCCGGTTCCGGAAGTGCGCCCGGCCTGGTGACCGGACCCAACCACCCTGATGAAACGGCAAGGCAAAAGGCACATTGAAAGGCCAAAAATTAACCCGCAAAGGCAAGATAATACCAAGGCTGGCTTCTGTCTTGAGGGAATCTGCCACATAGGGAACATGTAAGCTTGGATTTAATGATGCTGTGGTCCCACCCACCCTCAAGGTAAGGGATCTAGTAAGAGACCTCCCGACGTTAGGGCAGGACCCCGAAGAGCCACACCCCTGTGGGGGAAAACTGGAAAAACTAACATCCTGGGGTCTATCTTGAAAACAGGGGCCCAATTAAGTGTAGAAGATAACTCCCTGGACCACTAACAGACTCAAATCAGGGTATGAACTTATGCAGGCTCATAACCCAAATTCCCACCACCCAGAGGATTTAATTTACAATGGTCTCGGGCTGGCTACGCCCCTGCATACCAGGAAGAAGCTAAATACAACCCTCTCTTGAGAAATCTACCTTCCACCTAGGCCTCAGATAATGTAAGGGATAGAGTTTCAAGAATGCTTCAGAAGAGATTTAGGCAACTGGTAAAGAGTCTGGGGATGGGGTGGCGGTGGGTGTGTGTGAATTACTGAGATACAGAAAATGTAGCAAACTAAGAAAAAGGAAGCAGAGACTAGGAAATGAAAACATTTAAGTAAATCACAATTTTTTGCAGGAGAAAAAAATAAACGCAGGTGACAAAACGGCGCATGCATTATATTATTATAATAATGTACACCACCGATCAGTCACTGACTGATGCACGCTGTAATGCAGCATACGGCATGTGACTGCACTGGACGGTGCGGGTGGGAGAGGTCCCACTCATGTGGTGAGGACCTGGCGGTGGAGAAGGAAGAGGGCCAAACCCTCTTCTCCCATAGCTGGGAGTCAAGAGATAATGTCTAAAAATGAGGAAAAACTACAAAAAAAAAAAAATCAAGAAATAGCACAAGCACGTTGTCTACAGACAGAAGAGTAGACACCAGATAATTTGGGCAGAACAAGCAGCTACTCTGGCCTCCGGGGAGACCTCTCGGGGGCGGTCAGGACGGACAACCTCCAGCGTGTCTGCGCCCAGCCTCCCCTGAGCGTTTGCCTCTCCAATGACCACTGACCTGCATGTCTTTGCCGGAAATAGCGAGTTCTTTGAAGGAAAACAGACAAGTGCTGCAAACCTCCCCCCCAGCCAACCTCCCCCGGCTTGGACCTGAGGTTCAGTCAGCACGCTCCCCACCCAGCCTGCCACTGGCTGAGCGCTCACTGTGTGCTGGGCCCAGAGGATACGACGCAGCAACTCTGAAAACAACTCAGGAAGACAGATAGGGAAACTGAGGCTCAGAAAGATGAAGCGGCTGTCTGAGCTGGTCACTTCGAACTTGGGACTGTTTGACTGCAAAGCCCATGTCCTCTAAGTGTTACATGACCTTGTCCCCCAAATGGGTTTCCGTGGAGAACCCTCCGTGGTGGGGAACATGCAAGGAACCAGAGGTCGTCTGGATAACTGAGGTTGGGGGGTACGCTCCCTCCCCACTGCGGCGGAAGAAAATGGAGTGGAGGAGGGTCCCAGACACTTACAGAGTAGGTGACCCCGCTGGAAGACACAGGGGACGCCTCGCTGTTGGCAGAAGCGCCCACGGCCAGGGAAGCCAAGGCGGGGAAGAGACTCTCCATCTCGGGCTCCTCTGAGAGGTTGTCTTCGCTGTCCGCCTGGCTGTGCTTCTCCGCCTCACCGCCCCCCCAGCCCTCCGTCGGGGCGCCCTCCTTTTCAGGCAGAGCCACGTCCATGCTGCCTGGGATGGACATGAACTCGTCCATGCTCTCGTTGGCCAGGAGGTCACTCTCCAGGCTGTCCTGCACGGCCAGCTCCTCACGGGGAGCCTCGTCCCGGGACGTGGTGGCCTCGCTGCTCTGCCCTTCGTCCATGCTGCTGTCCCCAGGCCGGAGCACCAGGGAGGCGTTCCGCTGGGGGTCCAGGACACTGTCTTCCGTACTCAGGCTGGGCTCCGAGTGCTCCGAGAGGCCGGAGGAGAAATTGTGGGAGGAAGGGTGGCCGGAGTCTGGGGAACAGGTGCCATTCACCAAGGTCCCATTGGGGATCTTGGGCTGTTTCTCCTCCAGCCTGCCTTCTGCCTCCACCTGCTCCACTTCGTCCACAGACTCAAACACCTACAGACAAGATGTGCAAAGACAGACCGACCAGGATGGACCCTGGTGCTGTTCCCAACAGTAACTTCAATACCATCACCAGGGGATCGGTTCAAATACGAAACACAGACATGTGGTGGAATACTATACAGCCAGTAAAAAGGAGCGAGGTTGAGCAATGGCTAATACATGCTCCCATTTGTGAAGAATGAAAAAGTGGCCTATGTGCATGAAAATGCATAGAACAATCCAGAAAGAAACAAGGAAGCATTGCAGTGGACTCTGTGAAGGGATTACTAAGGGATTTAAATGGAAGGGGGATACCTGTCATCATACAAACTTTTGTGCACCCAATTTAAGTAAAATATTAGTTAACGATGTAAGAATCAGGCTGAACAGAGATCACACCCATGTGGCTGACTGTTACGGATCAATTTTCAGAAGTGGTTCAATGCACAGATGACCCTTGAACAATGTCAGGATTGGGGTGTCAACCACTCGCACAAGTATCCACATGTAACTTTCAACTCCCCAAAAACATAACCAGTGGTCTACCATTGACCTGAGCCCTTACAGATGATGCAAGCCATTGAGCAACACATTTTTACGTCGTATGTATCGTACACTGTATTCTTACAGTAAAGATCTGACAGCAGTGTTATTTCTAGGGAGGCCAAGTGGGGGTGAAGGGTGGTCAAAGCCAAGTGTAGCTTTCGCTGCAGTATTTTAATTATTTTTACAGGGAGAATAGGTTCATACGTTACGTGTGTAATTAAAAACTCAATCTTTAATGCCGGTATAAAAGCTAAAACAAATAAAACACAAGTGACCCACAGACGATGGATATCCAAGCCCACTAGCCCAGGCTGGAGGGAGGGGGCGGGCAGGGAGGGGCGGGGCCTCGGGAGGTCACCTGTGTGCTGCTGCTGGAGTCGCTCTGCAGGCGGACGTTCTGGCGGCCGGAGCTGCAGCTCTGGGAGGACTGGGAGGAAAGAGGCGGGAGGGAGCGAGGGTGAGGCTGCGTCGTCCTGGCTCAGGGTCCCCGGCGCTGAGCTCAGGACGGGCTGCTGGGCTGGGAGTCAGGAAGTCTAGTTTTGTCCCTGTTTCTGACTTGAGCAAGGCCCCTGTCAAGGCCTCAGGTTCCTACCTGTAAAGTGACAGAGGGCGGGGGGTTTCGCTCCCCGATCCCTGGAGCCTCCTCGGAGGCCACACCAGCCTCTGGGTCTCTACCTCCCACGCCTGCAACCAGAAAACCCCATCTGTAGTTGCTCTGAACTCGAGACTGCTGGCTAACGTTTTAGTTTGACTCACAGCCACTTGTTGCAGGAATGGCCCGATTTTTTACTCCCTCTTTGGATAGGTGCTTTTTGCCCTTACAACTTCTAGTTGCTGGCTACTCTGATGCTAGGCTTGGCCACGTGACCTGCTCTAGCCAATGGGATGCTAGCAGAGTCTACAGGGCGGAGGCTTCAAAAGTGCCTGTGTACTCAAGGGTCTGTCTTTACAACCTGTGTTCAGGATGACGACACACCCAGGTGAGCTGGCTGGAAGGTGAGACGTGGAGTAGAGCCGAGTCAACCAGGGCATGTGAAGGTCAGCTAAGCATGTCAAGGCCAACTTTTAGTTGACCTTCAGAGTTCAGAACTGCCCCACTGACCCTCAGACACACCAGTGAAAGTAAATGTGTGTTGTGGGAAGTCACTGACCTTTGGGGGTTGTTTGTTACACAGTATTAGTGTGGCAATTGGTGGCTGATACATCACTAGTGAAGAGAATTAACTTTCTTTTCAGTTCCTGCTCTGGGCTACTAAATTGGAGATTCTGTGACAACAGGTATGTTTGAGCTGGTCGCTGAAGTATTCTGATATTCCAGAACATTCCTGACAGTACCTGGCACATGGTAGGCACTCAATAAGCATTTGTTGAATGAATGAAAGTCTAGCACTGTGGTAGGTGCTTCATATACACTATCTTCCTTAAGCTGCACAGACCCTCCCTGTAAATAATCATTGCCATTTGCCAGATGAGGAACCTGAGGCCCAGAGGTTCAGGTGCTTGCCTGAGTGCCCAGAGCTAGGAGATGGTGGGACTGGAGTTCAAACTCAGGACTGTCAGACTCCGTAGTCACCTTCCACTGAAAACTAGGGGTGAGACTCTGTCCCAAGGTCCCGGACACCAGACCTCACCGTTCCGACCGCAGCCTGATGGAGCGGACCCTGGCTTTCACACCTTCACACCCGCCCCGCCCCATCCCCACTCCCTGAGCTGACCCGCCCATCACCTCGTTGCTGATGGTAGAGTCCCGGTGCATCATGCGGTGCAGGTGGCTATCCAGGCTGGCCCCTGATGAGCATTTGGCCAGGGCAGCCGCGTGGGACTCCCGTTCCCTCTGCCGCACGATCGCCTCGCAGCCCAGCCACTCAGCCATGGTCTGTGCGTAGCAGGCGTGAATCTGCTCGTCCACCTGCCAGGGCAGACACAAGGTCACCCGGAGTGCTGGGATCCCTGGGGAGAGCTGACCCGACCAGGAAGACCGGGTGGCCCTGACCTGGGATCTGGAGCTCTGGAAACACCTATCCAACATGCATGGCGCAACGTCCAAGCAACATTAACTGAGCACCTGCTATGTGCCAGGTATTGGCTAGGCCCTGGGATACAGAACAGTGGGCAAGGCTGCTCTTTTCTTTCAATCCTCCCTCCCTCCCCCCCTCCCTGTCTCATTAATAACTTTTCTATTGCTACATGCTGAAAGGGTAACACAGGGTTAAATAAGGTATATTATTAAAACTCATGTCGCTTTGATGAAAAGGCACACACGTGTGCCACACACACACATGAGCAGATGCAAAACCTGGAAAGTACTAACAGAGTGTGTATTTTAGCTAGTGGGATTCTGTTGGCGCGGAGCACTGCTCAGCCAGGAGACAGAACCAACTGTCCATCCGCACAACAGCTTGGATGGGTCGCCGGAGAACTACGCTCGGTGAAACAGTCAACCCAAAAAGGTCCTTTACTGTGTGATTCCATTTATTCACCATCGTTGAAATGACAAAATTATAGAAATGGAGAACAGGTTAGTGGTGTACGGGGGTTGGGGACAGGGGTGAGCAGGAGGCACAAGGACCCTCGTAGCCCCAGAAATGCTGTGTGTTGACTGTGGTGGTGACCCACAGACCTCATGTGTGACAAAACTGTATGGAACCACACACACACACACACACACACACACAGAGTAAGTCAGGAAGCCAGAATAAGACGGGTAGAGGGCGCCCATATCAACAGCCTGGTTGTGGTGCTGTACCATGTAGTTCTGTAAGATGTCACCATTGCGGGGGAAATTGGATGCAGGACACATGACGTGTCTCTGCATTACTTCTTACAACTGCATGTGGACCTACAACTATCTCAAAATAAAAAGTTTATTTTATAAAATGGCGTCTGTGGCTTGTGCCGTATTTTTATTGGACAGCGCCGCCCTGGGGCTCCGTGGCTCCCCCATCTCTCTGCCCCACCTTGGTCTGACGTGGGACCCTGGCTCCTTTGGTTGCCCACGGGGGTGACTAACCTCCTTCCTTTCGGTCTCCGTCATCCCGAACTGGTAGTGGCCCAGCAGGAAGGGCCACACAGCCTTGCGGATCTCGGGCTGGATGCCGCCGTAGTAGACCAGGCGCAGCAGCTCCTGCTCCTCGTAGCTCTGCGGTGGGGAGGGGGAGAGCACAGGGCATGGTCGACTGAGAACCCGGGGCAGACCCTGCGCCCCAGCAGTTCTGCTTCTCAGACCTAGTTCTCGGGGATCCTGCCATGAGGGAGTACAGCCGCATGCACCCAACGTTCACTATGCGATGTTACAACAGAACACACCCTGGGGTCCCCCAGTGGCCGGACCACAGGAAAATGGCACACCCCCGGCAGGGGGGCATCTCATACTCAAAAGCGCAGGAGTGCGTCTGTGAGCGCCCACACGAAACGATGCTCTATGTGTGTTAAGTGGAAAAAACAAGATGTAGATCACGTCTCGCGTGAACTCACTTTGTTAAAAAAAGCCAGTGTATAATGAATTCATATTTCTACTTAATTTTCAGTCAATTTTGTATACTGTGCTTATTTGGGAATATAATCTTCGAGTTTTTAATGTTGACTAAAACTCTAGGAAAATTGTCCTAAAGCAAACGAACCCACAACGAACACGGGCAACTGGCTCTGCGTACACTTAATAACGGGGGTGCACGGGGGGATGACTTGAACAACTGTTTGTTCTGTCGTGGGGCAGATTTCTCTCTGCTAATTCTTCACAGTTCATTTTCGGGCAAAGGCTTTGCGGATGCGTCAGAGGGGCCGACGGACCAGCAGCAGGTCCCATCTGTGCGTGTGAAGGGCCAATGACCGCTGCGAGGCTGCCCTGAAGGGCACTGGGGTCCTGTTTCCTCTCGCCGCTTCACACCACGCTCCAAAATTAAAAGCATATTTCACACCTTAATGCTAGTCTTAGGTGTATCCAACCACAAGGGCAAAAACAGCCACTCTTTCTGTCCCTGCTGGGAATGTTGGTTTGTATCATGTAGACGGCCTTGTCAAAGCTGTTTAAGAATCAGAGGACTAATTTATGGCTGAGGCTATAAACTCTTCATCAAAACCCCACACCCTTTTCTCCTGGAATCCATAGCTGGACTCCATTTCCCAGCCTCCCTTGCAGTTAGGTATGGCCATGTGACTGGGCTCTGGCCAATGGGACACGAGAGGAAGTGATGTGAGGCATCCCCAGGCCAGGGCTTCCAAGAAGCAGGTGTACTCCCCTCACACTCTCCATTTCCCCTCTGCTGCCTGGAGGCAGGTGACCCCCAGTCCCTGGAGGATGGAGGGGCCTCCGCTCTGGAGGGCGGAGAGGTGCCTACTCAGCGGGAATGCCTGCCCGGGAATGTTCAGTGAGCAAGAAATATTCCCCTGTGGTGTCAATCAACTGAAAGAGCAGATTATCTGTTACTGCAGTTCCGTCTACCCTGATGCAACAGTGAAACTGGGAACCGGGAAATCACAGCCAAACGGGTTGTAAAAGGACCAAAAAAACATCAGATGAGAAATAATCATTTCTGACTAATTTACTATGTCAACACATTTGTCCTCAGACCAGTGCCTTCTAAACGGGAGAGATCATTAGAAGCATTTGGGGAACTTTCAAAACAACATAAACTCTCGGGCTCCGCTCCCAGAGATGCCCCCTCAGCAAAGCTGGAGCGGAGCCCAGACGTGCACAAATCTTTCCGACTCCTCGGGAAACGTGCATTCAAGTAGACAGAGAGAAGGGGAGTGTCGGGACCTTTGCAGGAAGCAGGCTGGCACATCTATTTAAATGTTTAATGCACACCAGTCAATCTTATTTCTAGGAATCTGCTCTCACAATAAAAGCACTAGTACAGAGAGGGTTATGCTTATAAAGATGTCAACTACAGCACTGTTTGACATGGTTTTGTAAAAAAGGGAGGGGCCAGACGTCTGTCATTAGGGAAGAGTTAGAATGAATTATGGCCCACCCACCCACGAGGTGCTAGAGCTCTGACGTTCAGTAGTTCACCTAGAGATCTGAAAGCATGTCCTTAACACAGAAGTAAGTCGGTTACTTAACATACAAGTGTGTCACCTCATTAAAAAGAATCCGAGTACACATATTCTTATGCATCCATCTATACAGATGTTATCTGCGGGTATATAAGCGTAGACAGGGTCTGGTGGGGCCTACACCAACCAGTCCTATTCAGTGAGGCAGGGGATCCGACCCAGAGGAGCAGAGCAGAGACGTATTTTTAATTGTCCTGTGAAAGACTCTCTCCTGCAGAGCCCAACTCCAGACCAGCTTGCTGACCAGGCCTCATCCTTGGGCCCTGTCCCTGCCTGCCTGGCCCAGGGGTAGCAAGGACCCTGCTGTCAGGCTTGTGAGAATCTCCATCTGCACATCTGATCAGGATCGCCATCCCCACCCTTCATGCATCGCTGGCCCGTCTTCGGCAAGAGTCCCCTACCCTTGATGTCTCCTGTTAGTACTTTCCCATCCACTGGCCCCCTCTCTGCTCATTGGCCACAGATCAGCAGCTGTCTGTACCGTATGTGGAACTGAGCCAAGTTCTATTCTGATGTCTGGTTCCCCCCTTGCAATAGTACCGAATAAAATCTGTCTTTACAGCCAAAAAGTGAAAATAAAGATAAAAATAAAACACAAAAAATGTCTATCCCTTATGCAAAATTTGCCTTCTTCATTCTTTGAATCGTTCCAGTAAATAGGCATTCCTCCTGTAATTTAGAAAAGCAATTGTTTTTGGCAAAAATGTAAAACCGCCCTTCTGTTTGTCCAGATTTGGGAACTAGTTTGTTTTTCTCACCAAGTCCCCCGGCAATCCCGGATCAACACACAGACGGGCCCCTTCCCCCAATGTGGGGAAGCCCCCACTCCAGGCACGTGCCAGCTTGGCCTCCCAGGCCGAGCAGAGAGGCACCGGCTGCCCGAGCCACGGGGCGAGCCAGCGTGCAGGAAACGGCCGTGTCCTCCCAACACCTGCTCCTGGCAGCAGTCAAACCAGCACCTTTCAAAGCGGTGGATTCCACCTTCCACCAGCCACGGGGAGGGATCTAACACAGGCTTCTGTGGCCAAACGCACCTGGGGGGTGTTGCATGTGCCCTCCCAGGCGCCCCCAATCTCCTGAGAGTGGCAAGCACGTTAGCATAGTTAAGGTCCTTCAGGAAAGCTGTTTAATCTTATCTCCCAAACTATCTGACTATGATCCTTTTTTTTTCCAAACATAACACATTTTCCTTTCAGGGACACGTGTTGGTCTAGTAAGAAAATCCCGGAAATCTATCTCCATGTGAAACACCCAAACTGCAGAATCTCAGGCGCTAATACAGAGACGGGAGAAAGAGTTTCGAAGGTGGTGGGGTTTTCCAGGCCCAGCTGTCTCCAACTTAGCTGCTTGCACCGTTTCAAGTAGATCCGACTGGATTATATATTCCTTTTCACGGGGCCTCACGGCACCTTGTGCGGGACTGAGCATACAGCTGATGCTTAATACATGCTTAATGGCTGACTGATTTTTACTCCTTCTCGATGAGGATGTGTATTTTCCATCCTCCCTGGTCCTCACCCCAGTGGGTGGAAGCGGACCATGGGTATTGGAACGCTCAAGAAGAGGAGAGGCCTTCAACTTGGGCATGCAGAACTCCAAGATATCAGAGCATCCTCAAGTCCCCACGAGCAGGTGGGTCTGCTCCCCAGATGACCAGCCGCCCCCACCCCCTGCAGTCCCTGTCCCGCCACAGGCCGCCCGGGCCCAGCCTTACTGAGCTGTCCCGCAGGTACTGCTCCCAGATCCCGGCCGTCAGCCCACGTCCAGCGTCGCACGGCAAGTCCGCAGACACAATCCTGTGATTGACCAGGGCTGACAGGTGGGTCCTCACGGTGGACAGATGTCTGCAGTACGCAAGCCCTGTGGGGGCAGAGAGGGACAGGGTCATTGTCCACCACCCATCCCTGCTGGCCTTGTTACCTGGAGTCCCCCAGGTGCTGTCCACAACCGTACTGAACCCTCACGACCCAGCCAGTTCTCACCATCCCCCTTTCCAGGTAAGGAAGCTTAGGCTCAGAGGGGTACAGTCACCTACTGGCTTGACTGCTTAACAGCTCTGTGACCCTGGGGCGGTCCTACCACCTTTCCCGACCTTGCTCAGGGTGACGCCACCTCCTCTGCTGGAAGCCAAGACATTTAATGCACAGGCTGGAGGTGAGAGGGGGCTGCTGACCCTGCGGCCTCACTGTGCCCGTGGGCACCTCCGGTCCATGCCGAAAGAGGAGGAGGATGGGGGAGGCAGGGCTGGGTCAGGAGGGTCCTGGCAGTCATGACCGAGATGCTGAGGGTGCCAGTTTGCTTTCAAAGACGGCCTTGCCTGCCAACCTTCACCCACCCCACCCCGGGCACCTGCAGGGCACAGTGCCCGGCATACGAGGGCCACTCGGCAGGCACTAGCTTGTGTCCGTTTAGATGCGTCCCTTTCTTCTGGCTCCCCCGCCATCGCATCCTGGGAGAGGACCCTGGGCCTTCCGGAGCCTGAGGACTGGCCCTGACCAACAACGTGGATAACCACAACGATGAGGATGACGACGATGATGATGATGATGGTAATGTAACGGGGAACACTTATACAGCACATACTACATGCCAGGGAGCCGTCCCCAGAGCTCACACAACCTAACTCATTTCATTCTCTCCACGGCAGATGTCCTTAGCATCTCCGGGTTACAGATGAAGAAACTGAGGCACAGACTGGTTTCGTCACTTGCTCAGGTCACACTGCCAGGAAATGTGGGGTTGGGATTTGAACCCAGCCTGCCTGGCTCCAGAACCTGGGCTCTCAGCCACCATCAGGGATGAGCCACATCGTGTGATGACATCATTCAAGACCCCTCTCTACTCCCTCCCCTTCCTCCAGGAAGCTCTTCCCTTTGGGTTCCACAAATACTCATCCACTGTCTGCTCCGTGCCCAGCCCCGCATTAGGCACTGCGGATGGGCGGTAACGGAACAGGCAAAAACCTCGATCTTGGAGAACTCATGCTCTCCCCGCCTCTCCAGGCACTCTGGGATATAACCTGCGTGGCTGTTTCACGGGCCAGCGCAGGACGTGTTAGCACTTCCCTACAACCCCACAGCTGCTAAGAACTGATGGGGCAGAGTAGAAAAAACAGAGCATGTGCAGGCAGGCGGGGCTGCGTTTCGGCCCCAGCTCTGTGGCTTCTTAGCTGTGTAACCTTGGGCAAGTCACTTAGCCTCTCTGTGCCTTAGTTTCCTCATCTGTTCCAGTGAAACAATCAGAGTACTTATATTATGAATTTAGTTTTTAAGTTATTTGGAAGGGACCAGGCCACCTCTCCCTTCTGCTCCTGCCCACAGGGGAAGGGAGCTGACAGCTACTGAGCACCCGTGACAGGTAATGCTAGGTGCTCGGGGCCTTATACACGCGTCTCATTCAGTCTTGAAAACACTCTAAGGTGGGCACTGGGAATGCAGCCATGATTAAACCACACCCCTGCCACCAAGGAACCACATTGCTCACTGCCCTCTCTTAGGACCAAAGGATACTATTTAGTCCCAATCTGTACATGAGGAAACTGAGGCTCAGAGAAGTTAGTGTAACTTCACCAAAACCAGGCATCTGGGGAATAGGGGAGCAGCGGTCCAAACTCCCGAGCCAGCCTCCTTCCCCTGACATTGCTGGCACACAGTAGGCACTCAATGAGCGCTCCCTGGAGACCACAGTGGCAGACGAGGTCAATACGCACATCCATAGAAGGCTCTGGAAAGGATCTGGTACTTCATATTGTCACAGAGAAGCTTCAGGGGAGCCCTGCAGGTGGAGGAAAAGGGAGACACTTAGATCAGATCCGCACACAACCCAGCTTTCCTGGGGAGCACAGCTCATTATCTCCAGGAGCGGATTAAAATGAACCAGTCAAGGGAACTGTGGGGTACTGTTTCTACCCATACAGCCTCACTGCCCTTCTGCCATCAGCTTGGGAGTCACTGCCTGACTCTGTCCCAACGATTTGGGTGGGGCTGGTTTTACCCAGTACTTGACTCAGGTTGGAGTCACAGTGATTGGGTAAGAGGTGGGCACATGATCCAACCTAGGCCAATGAGAATCAGCCCTGGGACTTTTGTTGGAACTGGGAAACGGACACTCTTCTCCCTGATTGAGTTCCTAAGCCAATGAGATATGGGGCAGTGGCAGCTGGGATCCATTTTTGCTACTGCACAGAAGGGCCTGCCTGAGAATGAAACCATCATAGGGGCACACAGAGGCAAGAGCTAAAAAAACAGAAAGGTTCCTGCTTTGAGCATCTGGACCCAGCCATACCTGAAGCCACTACACCTGTGGACTTCTCATTTCTGTCACAGATTTTCCTTTTTACTTGAACAAGTTGAAGTTGGTGTCCACCACCTTCAGAAAGAGTTCTGACTCCCAAATGACCTGGCTGACCCAAACAGAGCCAGAGGGGGAATCGGAGTCTGGCTGTCTGCAAAGTCGGTGACGCCTCAGAAATTTCTCTTGCATGGGAATTTTGGGGGGCTTTTTGGCAGAAAGAGGAGAGGGAAATAAGGCTCCAGCATTGCTGGAGAAAAAAAATAAGGACTGATGAAAGGAGTGTTGTGCATTCTTGCAAAGAACACAGTAGAGCAGTATCTGCATATTTATCCTCAAGACATCCAGGGGACAGCCAGGAGGCTGAGGAGGAGGCAGGGCTGAAGTCCTCCAGTTATACATGGAGGCATTAAACTTTAAAGACACCCTCTTGGTGCCTTCAGGTTGATGAGGCTCAGGCTTGCTCAGATTACATGAGAACAGCATCTCACTGACAACTGTCCCACAGCGTACCTGGCTATCTGCAAGGTGGTGAGCTCCCTGTCACTAGAGGTGTGTAAGCAGATACAGTGAGAGGGGGCACTAGGCTAGAACAGCATTTTTCAGTGGTCCACAGACTACCAGCCCATAATCACTTGGAATTTCTCTTACTCAAGCAGGGCCACTAGGAAGCCATCCAGGAACCAGCAGGGTTGGCTGTCCCCCCACCCCCCATGGTGATTCTGATGCACATGAAAATGTGAAACTCTCCAGTTACATCGGCACTTCTCGGACTTAAAAGTACACACGTGATCTTGGGATCTTGTTAAATGCAGATTCTGCGTCAGCAGGTCCGGGATGAGGGGCTGAGAATCTGCTCAGGTGATAATGTTTCCGCAGACCACACACTGAAAGCCAGGGCTTTGAAGGCTTCAGAAACTTAAATGCAGCCCCCACCCCTGATGTGCCTATGGCTGAAGACTGACCACCCCCTGGGACAGAGACCCAGCAGGCTGGGCCGAGGGGGAAACAAAACCATTCTTGTAAGCAGGCTAGGTAGTTCCAAAGAGCTCAAAGCTCTATGTGCAAGGAAAGAGCTGACCTGGGGATTTAACTTCATACAATAAAGCAGTGTGTCACTCAGTGAGCATGACCATGTGCCAGGTACCACCTGTTGTCCACTTCAAACCTTCATCTGAACTTTCCTTACAGTGGCCCCCTAAAGTAAGCATCTCTGTCCCCATTTGGTGGAGGAGCAAACCGAGGTATGTGTGGCTGTCATTAAGCATTATTTCTGGTTCCGCCTTCGAGGAACAAGAGAACTGCACTTCCCGGCCCCTCGTGAAGAGGTATGAATGGAAATAACAGGCGCTTCATTCGGGCTGGAGCACTGAGTTGCTGGTTAAGAGTCCCCACCCCACCAGCCTCCTTTCCCTTGTCACTGTGATTGGCAGTATTCAAGGGTGGGGGGCTTTAAGGTGGAGAAAGAAGAGTCCCCACCTGACCTGTAACAGACAGGTGGCTTGCATGACAAGTCACCCTTAGCTGTAATAGCCCCTGAGATCGCAGGACTGCTTGTTGTTGTGCCACACCTTGCGTATCCTGACTGACGCACGTCAGGAAGCCCCAACAGCCAGGACTTGATGAGGGTACGACTGAACCCAGCCTTGGATGATCCCACAGCTTCTGAAGTCAGTGCAAGGCAAGCAATCGGGACCTCCAAATCTTTGGTCAATCCTCCCATTTCCTCCTCCCACAGCTCAAGCCCCTCCTACCTCTCATGGTTGCAGCCATTGGTTGAGCTGCCATCAGCCGAGCCACTCTGTGAACAGGATGAGCAAGAGGATTTGTGGGGGCTGGGCTGCCAAAGGGGTGGCAGGTTGCTCACGGAGACATCCATCAGGTCCTGGGGCACTGGGGTGGGCAGAAGAGGCGGAGGAAAGGCTCTGGGTGAGCCTATGTGGGCTACAGACACCTCACCCCAACACACGCAGCTCACTCCTAAGCCAGCACAGAGATAGAAAAAGGCCCTGCACGTCACAGTAGGAAACAGCGACCCCAATCACTGTCTGAGCCAAGTCCTTGAGCCCGCCTGATCCAGTGAAAGCCTCCACCAAGATTTGGGGCCCCCAGCAAACAGACAGAGCTGATGACAGTGCAGAGACAGAGGAAGAAAACACGGAGAGACCAGAGCCACGGAAGCAGGCCCCATCCCCAGAGCAGTCCAAGCCTCACGCCATGTTGTCACTCAGCTACCCTCACAGGGGGCGGAGCCGAAGGAAGGGGCCCCACCCGGGGTTTCGGGGGAAGGTGGACAGGCTCCAGTCCCCACAGGTAGACTTGCTGGTTGACAGAGTCTCTGCTGGCGGGACAGAGGGAGCCCGACCCATCTGATGAGAGAGGGCTGCGAGGGCAGGGACCAGTGGAGTCCTCCAGGGAGGCGGGTGCCTGCACTGTCCATGGTCCTGAACCGAACAGCGGCTCCACCAACCAGCCTCAGGCAGGCTAGAGACCCCCCACCATCATGAAGGAGACTTGTTACAGAGTCCTAAGCCTGCATCCCACCCCTGACCCACTGAATTAAAACCCTCTGGCGCTACAGCCCTCGAGCCTGTGTCCCAGAAACCACTCTGATAGAGCAGCCGCACTGGAGCACCAATGAGGCACGACGGCTCTCCCAACTCCTGGTGATTCCTGACCAGCTGGCCCCAGGACACAGCCCTCAGTTTCCCTCCCCGCTTTCTCTCCCGGCTCCGGGAAACCGCAGCGTCTGCGATGCTGCAGAACAAACATACTGGTGATGTGGACACAACAATGTCCATGGCTAACTTGCTGGCCTCTTGGCAGATTGAGACAGGTGCAAAAAAATCATCTTCTCTAGCACAGGGCTCGGGAAACATTCTATGCATAAGGCCAGGAGGAGAATATTTTTGGACTTGTGAGCCACTTGGCTGCTATCGTGACCCCTCTGCCCTGTGGTCACAGTGCAAATGCAGCCGTGAACACAATGTAAACAAGTGAGCGTGGGTGTGTTCCAATAAAACTTTACTTATGGGCACTGGGATGTGAGTGTCATACCATTTTCACCTGTCACAAAATGTATTTTGCTTTTGATTTTTTTCAAAAATCAAAACCTGCAGAGAAAGACCAGCAAGTCCTTTATGTTCTAGAAAAAACGGCCCCAGTTCTTCGTCCATCTCAGGGAAACGCTGATCAGCTGTGCCCAGCCCTTCCCCCCATAGGCATCACCAGGGGATCCCTTCCCTACTGAACCCGTGACGCTCCGCGCTGCCTCCTGCAGGGCACAGGCGGGACCGCACAAGGGCAGTGGGTTGTCTCCCGCCTCCATCTCCACTGGGACCAGCGCTCAAATGACAACATGGCAGAGGTGGCCGGCACCCAGCCCCAGGGGTGGGGGATCCAGACATTACTGGGGGGCTGCTGCTTCAAGCCCGGCGTGGGGAGGGTGGAGTCCCGTCTGGTTTGCGTGCACTGACTGTCCCTGGCCACCACCAGCATGGACCGGCCCACGGGAACCACCATCCAGGCAGGGCCCACGGAGACGGGGGACGTGCTGCCCAGGGGGCCGGCAACAACTTGAGACACAAAGCAGAAAGCATCGGTGAGCTGGAAGGTCCGAGGTGGGCAGAACGCTGGAACGACTGGAAGGAGCAGTTCCCGGGGGCTGAACCTCTCCCCTGCCCGGCCCCCCACGGCTCCCAGTATCGTGTGGGAGCGGAGGAAGAACGAACAGGGACATCCGTGAAGCGCCTCCTCTGTGCCGGGGGCAATGCCGGACAGAGGAGTGCCTTATCACCCGAACGACCCAGCCAGGGACGCCCTTCTCCCAGTTTGTAGAGGGGAAAACCGAGGCTCGGAGGGACGCACAACCTACTCGGCCAAGGCTCCCCGGCAGGAACTGGCATGGCCGGTCTTTTTGACTGAAGTCCCCGCTCTCTCTTCCCACTGACCACAGCTACAGCTTACTGAGCGTGAGGCACAACCCCTTTCACAGGTCAGGAAACTGAGGCCCAGAGTATTTAAGCAGCATGCCCAAGACCACCCAGCTGGTAAGTGGTGGAGCCGAGATTCCAACCCAGGGGATGAGACCCGGAGATCCTGTCCCCTGGACAGCTGGGGCGCCATCCCCTGGGGGGCCTCTGGGAGCCAGGCAGAACACATTTCCCAGTTTTCTCCCCTGAGGGGGAGGGAGCTGGGCACTGGCTGGGGGCTGCCCCAGGGAGCACCGACTCCCTGGCACTGCTCTGTGCCCCAGCCATGGGCAGAGGAACCCAGGTGGCCAGAGGAACCCCTCAGGCACAGAGACCCTGAGTCTGGAGCTGGCAGGGGGGTGGCGTGCACAGCAGGGCAGGGGTGGGCACAGCTGGCATCTCCCCACTGGCATGTGCAGGCCACAGAGGCTAATGTTGATCTTCCCCAAATAAGGGTACCCAGCACCCAGCCCAGCTTCCAGCAAGAGCCTACACGTCATTGGTTGGGGGATGAGCCCCTGCGGAGCGAGTTTTCGGGGAAGGTGGCCCCAGGGCCATCGGGTCCTCATGAATACATCAGCTCTCTGGTGGGACTGTGAGCCAATGGGCAGCCTGGGGAGGCTCCAGACCCCGATTCTGGGCGGGAATGGACATGGTGACGAATGCTTCAGGACACTCTGCTGCTCTTACTGACGCAGCAACGTGAGACCCTGCTCCCACCCGGCCACGGATGGAAACACACGAACTCAGCCACGGAAGACCGCACTGTCTGCACCCCCGTCCACCTCAGCGGCAGATGAGGGAGGGAGTACTAAGCGTCCGGGCACACTGCCTTCGACCTTGCCGGGAAGGACGTCTGCCCCTCACTGCCCGGCCGAGGCCTCTGAAGCAAAGGGAAGCTCAGAGCCGTCACCCATCCAATGGGATCACGGGGGCCCCAGAGAGTTAAAGAACATGAGTTAACGGAAAGAACCTATAACGTAACACTGATTTGTTTAACAGACGTCCATACGGTGCCTCATACATGCCCGCCTCCTTCCAAGAACTCTTCAAGTATTAATTTACTTACTCCCAATGACAGCCCACGGCGATGGTAATCTTAACAGCAACAGTCTCTGCTTATTAGGCGTCTGTTTCACAGCGGTCACCGGCAAATTGTCGGGATGTATTAATAACCATCACCTCCCGTGCTAGTGCCGAGTGCTTTGCTTCGCTCTGCTGTTCTGTCACTTACTGAGTGCCTACTGCATGCAAGGCCTTATTCTACAGGCTGTACACTGATCACCGCAGCACCTCATTGAACCCTTACAACACGTTAAAGTACAATAACTCAGCAGCAGCTAACATGTGAGCGTTCTCTGTGCCAAGTGCCTTATCTCATTTAATCCTCCCGAAGGCCCTATGAAGTAGGGCCTTTTTACAGATGGTGAAACTGAGGCCCCGAGTTGAAGTGACTTGCCCAAGTTCAACCAGGATTCCAGAGCCCACGTCCCCACCTCTACCCCAGGCACCTCCCGGCCAGCGGCACTGGCATCGTTGTCAGCTAGGTAGAGAGTGGTTATTTGCTCTCATCTGTCTGGGGGAAAACCGAAGCTGCCAAGACATAAACGTCCTGATTCCAGGCCCCTGCAGGTCCCAGAATCCAGACCTCCGGCCCCCTACTTGCAAAGGCCTCAGTCAGTTTCGGGACCAGCCGACAGGCGGCTCCCCGGGCGCAGGGGCAGGGCGGGGCGGCTCACCGAACTCCGACTGCAGGCTGGGGTACACGATCCTGAACACGTAGTCCGTGGCCTCGTCGTCTTCCTTGTCCGAGGACGTGGACTCGGCGGAGCCCTGAGGACTTCGCTTGCGCAGTTTCGGGAAGACCTTGCCCTGAAAGGACACGTCCCAGTGCACAGTCCCTGGGACGCACCCACCCCCAGCGGCACGGCCCGAGGGTCTCCATGGGGCACGCATGAACCCACAGAGCCCCGTGAGGGCCCGTGGGCAAGAAGGACCACTGCCCACGGCTGCCCCCCCCCCGCCCCGGTGACTATGCCCTTTGCCCCCACGATCACTCACCTTCCCCCGCTGAGACCAGAGCGGCGGGTCCAGCTGCCCGTGCGGGAGCAGCCCGTTCTCCAGGCACGAGAGGAACTGCAGGAGGTGCCCTCCCTTGGGGAAGTGGAAGGGCGGCCTCTGGATGCCATCCTGGCTGACCAGCACCACCGTCCCGCCGCTGTCCACTGCCACCACGAGCCGGCACAGAAGACCCAGCAGGGAGTCACTAGGAGGCATGGTGACGGGCCCTCCCGGCAGACACCCCCCTGCCCCCGCCCCCAGGCATGCCGAGCCAGACACGCGAACCTGCTCTGAGGCTCTGGCAAAGGCCCGGACCAAGGCCAGGGGCAGTTTCAGCTCCCCGGAGTCCCTTCCATCCCACCCACTGGGGGCTGACTGGGGGCTATAGGATGCGGTCAGGAGGAGCGTGGCTGGCCTCCCCTCGGCCACCCACCAACGCCCCCAAACACCCCGTGCCCCTCAAGCACCCTCTACGGATCTGCCTGATCTGTTCTTGTATAGAGGCTTTCAGATCTACCCCTCCTCAGGGCAGAGGGTAACTGCCGCTCGCCTGTACGGAGCACTTACTGGATATAATAAGCACATCGCGTTAAAGGCGGCATCTTACTGTAGTACTCAAAACCTAAGACATGTTACTGCCTATTTTACAAATGATAAAGCTAAGGCTCAGAGAGGTTATGTATCTTGCCAAGAGTCACACAGCTAGTAAGTGGCAGGGCCTGGATTCGAACCCAGGTCTATCCCATTAAATATGCTTAAATGTTTTCTGCCTTGGTGGGCCACAGGAGCCCTTGTTTTCCAAAGCTGGATGAGTCTTTGCTTGTTATGAATGTCCCTTCTTTTAGCTTTAAAGGGGGACTCTAGTTATTCATCCCAGTCTGCAGAGCACTGACTTTGGAGTGACAAAGACCCGGGTTCAAGTCCAGGCTCTGGGACTTAGAGGCTGTGTGTCTGTGTGCCACGCTGCTTCCTCCCCTGGGGACTGGGAATGACAGGGCCCCTATCACCGGACTGTTGTGTTAACTAAATAACGAGCATGTAAATTTTCAGAACCACACCTGGCGCTCACAAGCACTGAGTAATAGCAACCAACACCCCAGGGGTTTGACACTGAGCCCCTATACACATCGCTTGGTCCTCACAGTCACCCCACTGAGAGGAGACTGAGGCTCAGAGAGAAGCCCCTTGTCGGAGGCTGCCTGGGCAACGAGGGGGTGAGGCAGGCAGGAGGCCCAGATGGAAGGCCCCAGCCCTGTGCTCCCCGCGGCGGTCCCTACCTTGCTGGTGGCAGTGCAGATAGACGATCTCCTCCAGGCGGATGGTCATGGCGTAGTCCCAGTAGACGCTGAAAGGGGAGGGAGGGGTGGGCCTGCAGGATGTCTGCCCACTTCATGGTGGGCAGGGCCCAGGGGGCCTGAGGACCACACCCAGGGGCTCCTCTACCCTTCCCACCAGGACCCGCTTGTCCCTAACATGTGTTATCACAGTCTTCCCAGACCCTATGTCCCCTTCTTCAGTCCCAACTTTCTAAGGACTCCCTCCTCCACTGCCCCTAGTCCAAGTGGCTGAGGCCCCACCTCACACACCCTCCACCCCGAACTCCAGGAACAGCCACCTGACAAAGGACTGATCAATCAGCACATTCCACTGCTCTGGCTACAGTGATTGGTTCAGGGGTGGCCCTGTGACACAAGCAGAACCAATAAGATTCAATTATTGGATTTATGTTAAAATTACTGGTGAGACAGGCTCCTTTCTGCTGGGAGAGTGGTGGTCAGGATGCTAGCAGCCTGGAGATGTGAGGGGGACAAGAAAAAGCCTGCCTGAGAGTGGTGTCAACAAGCCAGGGCAGCGGAGGCAAGAGATGGAATGCGTCCGAGTCTTCCTCATTCGAGTCCCTGGATCCAGCCCTTCCTGAAGCTGCCGCCCCGAGATTTTTCAGTTCACATGCACAAATGCTTAAGTCAGCTTGAGTTTGGTTTTCTGCCACTGGTGTCTGAGTCTTGACTGACTCTGACCCTGACTTCAGGCCCCTCTATGTGCATGGGCAGGAGTCAGGATAGCCACTCAACAGCCTCGACTTCACGGGTCCCAGCAGTGTGACTTGAAGGCTTCGCTGAGCTTCAGTTTCCTCCTCTGAAAGTGGGGATGATGAGAATACCCCCTGCACAGTGTTGCTGTGGGGGTTCAATGGAATCAAGTGTTTGGATGGTCTCGACACGGCACTGACGCCTTAAAAAAGTACTTGGCCAATGGTCCCTGTGATTTACTCAAGGTTTGCCATTTTCAGCTCAAAGCCTACTGCTATCTTGAAACAGATTGTTTTTCCCCTCTGAACACAATGGGAGGTGGGGCCACAGGAACTTGGGCTTGGTGGCAGCCACAGGAAGGCACTGCTCAGGTCTCCTTAACTCAACCCCGCTGTGGGGCGCAGAGCTGACCAGCGTCTCCAGAGGCCACCCCTCTGGGTGCACCGCCAGCTCTGTGCCAAGGCCATACTTCCTCCCAGCTAGGACAGAGTGCGCACACATGCCAGTGTCGGCCTATTCCTGAGCGACAGGGGACTCTGGCCAAACGTCCTCAGAACTGCACTGTGTCTGAGGCTCTTATTGCCCAGCCCCCCTCCCTCGCACTCCTCCCTCGCAGGGTCGACAGAACACAAGACTAGAGCTCTGGCTGGGCCCCTTGAAAAGAGTCCCACTCTACTGAGACACAGATCTACAGATGAGATCCTGTGACGTCTGCCTGCTGCTGCAGGGTGCTATGCGGAGGGGAGGGGAAGTGGATGGCTGTTAGGGATGGGTGATGGGTACTCAAGTCCTGCCTGCTGTTATGTTGGAAACTCTCACAGCCAAACGTTTTTGAGAAAGACCATGTAAAGGGAAAATGAGGCCAGATGTGGGTGCAGAGCAGCAGACTCCAGGGCTTCTCCTCCCCACCAGCTAGCTACCAAGACTCCTCAGGCTGAACTAATCGGGCTGCCACACCTTTGCCCGGTGGCGTCCCTTTGTCATTCCTAAAACCGTCTCTAATTGTGCTGGGGCACGGGGCATTGCGGCAGGGAATTCCCAGCCCCAAGTTCCTTTGGAGCAAAGCCTTGGCTGGGTCTCATAAATCCAGACTATCAGAAGAGACAGCCCTGGACCAGATGCCCACCAACCGACACCTCCTGCCTCCCTTTTGCATAGAGGGATGGGGAAGTTGGCAGCAGACGGCGGAATATTTGCCAATTTGGGGCTTGTGCAATCTTTGTTAAGATATTTCTGGGTTGTCTTTTGGCCAGGATCTGCCTGACTCCCACACCCTGAGATTCTTCCAGTCGGTTTCCGGATGGTCCCCAGTCCGTCAGTGACCCGTGAGGCCACCGCCACAGGGAGGCTGGGCCAAGTGGCTGCAACCACCAGAGGGAGCAGCGGGTAGGGTCAGGGCCCAGGGGACAGGGCCCAAAGGTCCCTGTGCTGAGGGAGGGGGAGGGACCTGGCGCCCCACCTCTTCTCATAGTCCAGGTCTCCCACAGACCCATTCATCAGCTGGTTGGGCGTCCACTTCAAGGTCATGACGTCGGCGGTCTGGTGCAGGGACAGGTATCCCGGGACGGCCTCCATGTCGTCTCTCTGTGGAGACAGAAGGACTCAGGCTTGGTCGTAGGGTCGGAGCCCACAGTGAACATGACCGGAACCCGGAGGTCGGTCACTCCCTCCAAGCCACGGTCATCTGGAAGACCCCAAGCCTCCTTCTAAGCGGCCATGCTAAGCAGAGCCGTTTGCAGCCAACCACCCAGGATGGGCTCTCGAGGTCCAGCTGTGACAGCTGCCGCCCCCCACACTCTGACGCTCACGCTTCCCTTCTGAGGCCCCGGGTCCTGCTGCAAGGGTGGGGTGGGGGGTCCTTCAGAACCAGGAAGGAGCTCTGTCCCTCTCAACATCCCCCTTTCGGAAGCAGGAGACCGTCATCTGCCATCATTTTAGTCAGTCCTCCAGGAGAAAAAGTGTGGCAGCTGAGAGCTACCTCCCACTCCCCGGACATGACCCAGAAGCCCCTCCCTGAGTATCCCCACCACACTCCCGCCCAGCAGCCTGGCCCTCCATCTCCCCAATCTGCCTGCAGTTTCTCACCTGCTCTCCTGTATCCCAAGTGGTGGGGGGTGGGGCTGGTGGAGAGGGGTGTTTTCAAGCCTCACCCACAGAGGTGACAGCCCCTCCACCAAATTCACCTCAGCATTTGGAGACACACGGACGGAGCAGCTGGTGTGCACCCAGCCTGGTTCGGGGTCCCACACACTGTCTCAGTCTCACCACCCAAGCCCGCAGCCCCGGCAGAGAGCACGGTGCAGTCTTCCACCCACTGTCAGTTCACATCTTAATGCACCTGGAATGAGGATGCCTCTTACCATCAGCAGTGTCGAACCGCTGTGACATTGTCATTGTCTGACCTCCCTCGAACTGGGTCACAGCTGTTCATACTGTCACTTCCCTTAAGTTTGGTGCATGGGGGTCACTGCGCATGCGCAGCGCGGGTGCTATTCAAAACGTCTTCAGAAAGACTACCCTGCAATCCAGCTTCAAATCGAATAGTTACTGTGTGTGTGTGTGTGTGTGTGTGTGTGTGTGTGTGTGTGTAAAGGCTGGGACCTGCAGGGACACCCTCAATACGAGATTTTTGGGAAAATCAACAACCAAGTGCAATACCTGCAAGAAATGCCGCACCTCCTGTGCTCTGGGTCAGAGATCAGCAAACTCTTTTTAAAGGGCCAGGCAGAGAATGCTTCTGGCTTTGTGGGCAATACAGGCTCAGATGCTGCCACTCAATGCGGCCAGTGCAGCGCCAAAGCAGCCACACACAGTATGTAAACTGGGGGGTGTGGCTGGGTTCCAACAAAACTTCATGAAAACAGGCGCAGGGCTGAGTTTGGCCCACGGGCTATAGTTTGTTGACCCTTTCTCTTGATGGAACAGAAAATGATACTTGGTGGAAAAATAAGGACAATGGCTCCAAAAGTCAGGGAGTGATACAGAAAACTAGATCCTGAAAGATAGTGTTAGGACTGTCTTTAAAAAAAAAAAAAGATTTTATTTATCTATTTTTAGAGGGGGGGAGGGAGGGAGAAAGAGAGGGAGAGAAACATCATCATGTGAGAGAAACAGTTGCCTCTCGCACACCCCCAATGGGGGACCTGGCCCACAACCCAGGCATGTGGCCTGACTGGGAATCGAACCAGTGACTTTTCAGTGCACAGGCTGGCGCTCAATCCACTGAGCCACACCAGCCAGGGCAGTTTTAGGACTGTCTTAACTGATGTATCTCAATTATATTTTCCTTTGTATACACTTACAAGAGTAATGTTATTATTTTAAGAAACCATATCCAAATACATCTCAAAGAGCTCTTCCAAAAAGTACAAAATAAAATTTTCAAGTAGTGAGAGAAACATTGCATGTAATTTAATCTAATTTTAAATTCCTGATGGCTATGTTTAAGAATGTTCTATCTTAAATCCACGGCTTCTTAGGTCTCAGGAAACAGGGTCTTGCACCCATGAGATCGGGCACTGATGCTCAGACAGAGGCGTGACCTGCCCAGGGACACCAGTGATCGAGACCGTGACCATAGAGCTGAAGTGGTGGGCAGCTCTCCCCCCACTTCCTCTCAGTGGAGCCCAAACGCTACACTGACCCCGAGGTTCCCGGGGAGGGGACAGCCCACGAGATACCCCGTGAGGGTGGCGGCTCCTTGTGCCTGCTCATCTCCCATCCCCGGGGCCTGGCCCAGTGCGGCAGCACAAGGGGTGACTGGAAAGTGGCAGAGACCCTGGCACCAGCCAGCCAGACTTCGAATAATAACTCCATCCCTTGCCCCACCTGCGGGGGCTCAGCGTTACCATTTATGATAACAGCATCGGCCTCAGATGGCTGTGGTGAGGTTTAAATGAGCTGATGCAATTAAAAGCATTTAGCACGGTGCCTGACACATAGAAAGTGCTTAATAAATATCAGCCGTGAGGATGTTTATTTTGATATCCTAAGCATCTAGCACTTAGCAGGCTCCGTATAAATGTTTGCTGAATGAGTGAAGAATAACAAGAGAGAACGAAGGGACAGACAGCTGAGAGAACAGGTAGATGGACAGTTGGACTGGAAAATAAACGGGCAAATGGGTGGATGGATGGGCAAATGGATATAAACACAGGCAGATGGGTGAAGGGATGGTGGGAAAGGCAGGAACAGGGCATGGTGGACACAGAGACTGGAAGAGAAGTGGCTGGCTGGCTGGCTGGCTGGCTGGCTGGAGATACTGATGGATGGGTGGATGCACGGGCGGACTCGGTGACGGGAAACACTGGCATGTGGATGAATGAAAGGGTGCACGGAAATCCTGGCATATGGAGAACGAATGGATGGAGGAGATGTTGGCAGATGAACCAATAGATGGGTGAGTAGGTGAATGGATGGATGAGTGAATGAATGAGCAGCACGGAGCCAAAGGGAACTTCTCTATAACACGGAGCCAGACCCCGGGTGGGAGGTCTGGGCCCAGGACGAGCTCTCACCGGCTGAACGAGAACGTTGTTCTTGCCATACAGCAGGGTGGCCCGGGAGTTCTGGTGCAGGGACTCCACGTAGTCACGGGCGGAGAGGGACGGGCGGTCATCCATGCTGCCGCTCGAGTGCCTCTTCTGGATCTGGCAGCGTGAGCGGAGGGAGAGAATGAGGCCTGGGGGGACCTCCAATGCCCCACTCCATCCTCTGTCCACACGCCAAGCCGGGAACTCAGCCTGACTCCCCGCACAGGGTCCCAGTGCCTACCCCACTCACACAGAGGGCTGGACGCTTGGTGGGCGAGTCCTGTCGCAGGTGTGAGCTGTGGATGCGGTGCCTCTGGACGAGCTCGTCGGCGGAGGGATCGGTCCAGAAGTGATCCGCCGTCTTCATCTTGGTGTACTCCAGCGCACAGGGGCCCACTGCAGAGCAGACGGCCGCTGGCAACCCTCCGCCCCAGGAAGTCTACCCTCCCGTCTACCTCCGCATGGGCCCCTCACGCCACTGCCCCTCCCCTCCAGCCAGCCAGGAGGCCCCAGGGTCCTGCTAAGGAGACGCCAGCATAAGACACTGAGAGCAAGAGACAGGGAACAGGTAAGTTTTTATGGGGAGACTAGAAGGAGGGGAGAGAGGCCTTTAGGTGGTGCCCCGGGGGCCAAGATTAGAAGTTTAAAGGAAGCTCAGAGGACCAGACCACTCACCCAATAAAGATGCCAGGATGGGGCCATCCACGGGGTCCATCAGCAGCGCTTCCTTTTCATAGTATTTGCTAGCAAGAGACCAAAGAGCATGCAGGTTTGGAAGGTGACCAGCAGGTGGCGCACAATCCACTACGGCCTGGTGGTAAAGAGCAGGCAGCCTGGGTTCACACCCCCTCTTGTCAGGGGGTTACCTCTGTTAGCTTCAGCTGCCCCATCCGTAAAATGGGGATAATAGTGTATCTCCTGGGGCTGTCGAAGGACTTTGGAGGGAGACAATAGATGTGAGGCGCTTCATTTAGCACGGTGCTGGGCATGTTACTGCTTAATACAGGGCTGTAACAAAAGCCTTAATGAGGTAGCAGGAATAATCGTTATATAAGGCTGCTGAGGCCTGGCTGGTTCTGTCTGCTGCTACCACATCTCCCATTTCAGACAGGAAGTCATTTAGAGGCACAGATGATAGCTACCCTTCTAATGTTATTGAGGCAATAAAATGCTTTTTAGCTGTGGTTATCCCAAAGGCTGTATTAACAGGCCTTTCTGTCCAGATAACTCACACGGGCATTGCTGGGCTGGAACACTCAAAAACGCCCCCCGCCCCCCCAGCTTCTGACTCTTCAAAATAAGATGTGAAGCCATCAATCAATACTGCAATGTGCGGGCTGAATGATTTTGGTTTCTGTTTGAGTTGTACAGTGGTTTCTAAGTCTTGGCAAACTTTGCACAGTCTAGACGGTGGCAGAATTTAGCATTGGCAAGGACCTGGTCCTGACCTCCTGAGGGTTCTCAGCTCAGAGAGGGTAAGTAACTTGCTGGAGCCCAACGAAGGGACAGGAGGTTGGTACTGCTGTTCAAGTTATTACTGACTCCTTTTGACAGATTTATTCAGTAGGAGAACGCAAGGTCATACACCAGAAGCAGTCACTTCAGAGGGTGGGGGCAGAGACATGTTACAATGTACAAGACGGTGAAGAGATTTACTGGAGTCACTGAGCCTAGATTTCTTTCAGTTCCTCACCTGCCTCAGGGCCTTTACACTCACTGTTCCCTGCCCCCTTCACCTGGATAATGCCCACACGCCCTTCAACTGGAAGCTTAATTGACTGTCACACCCTCCAGGACACTTGCCACGACCACCTGGAGGAGATTAAACACCATCTTTAATCTCCTGTCTGTGCTTATAATTATCATTACTTGACTGTTTTCTCCGCTACAATAGGAGCATCACGTGGGGGACCTTGCTGTGTACTTTCACACCTGTTTTCCTTGCAAACAGGCCAAGAATAAAAGATGACGAGACCTACTGTGTGTGAAGATGTAGTCAAACAGACACTTCCATCTACCCAAAGATGGGGCGATTCTCAGATATTTCTCTCTCTCCTTCTCTGGCCGAGAAGAGGGGCTGGCTGTGAGGGGTCTCAGAGCAGACTCCTCGAGGGCTCCCCACTGCTCCCGGCACAGCACCATAGGTGAGACCGGTGTACTGTGACACCTGGGTTAGTGCCTGGCTCACAGTATCGCAGGAGGCCCTCACACACTGGTTAGATGAATACACGGACGAGTGCTTGCCAGCAGGACTGCTTCTATAAAACCGCTACATCAGGTAATTCTGAGCCAGGAGAGGAAATGCAGAAAGAGTCCCCCTGCACTTCCCAGATGCTAGGTGCTAGCTAGCTGCTCTTTTTTAAAAATATACATCTTATTGATTATGCTATTGCAGTTGTCCCATCCCCCCCCTTTACTCCCCTCTGCCCTGCACACCCCTTCCCACCCACATTCCCCCCATGGGGTTCATGTCCATGGGTCGTACATATAAGTTCTTCGGCTTCTACATTTCCCATACTATTCTTACCCTCCCCCTATCTATTTTCTCCCTACCATCTATGCTACTTATTCTCTGTACCTTTTCCCCCTCTCTCCTCCTCCCACTCCCCCGCTGATTACCCTCCATGTGATCTCCATTTCTGTGGTTCTGTTCCTGTTCTAGTTGTTTGCTGTTTGTTTCTGTTTTGTTTTTTTAGGTTCAGTTGTTAATAGCTGTGTTTGTTGTCATTTTACTGTTCATATTTTTGAAATGTTAAAGGGACTTATCTAAGAAAAAGAAGGTCAAAAACGTGGCCAACCCCTCTTCTCATCCCTCTTGGGTGTGGCAGCAATCCCTGTCCTGTTCACCGAGAAAGAAAACAGGCGCAGAGAAACCGAGTGATTTCCCTCCGGCCACGTGGTTAGCGAGGAGACTGTGGGCTTAATTCACTGGAGAAGGGAGATCACCCAGATCTCAAGACCTCATACCCCACTCCAAATGCGAAGACTCTCCATTGCTATTAAACAACGGAATATTCCCAAGGGTCTAAGCTAGGCTAGTTCAGATTCAAATATCCATGTGCAAGGGGGGTGCAACTCCCAAGACTGCCAGCAGATGGAGGCAGAGGGCACCCAGCTCACCTGCTGTTTTCCACAAGGTAATGCACAATTTTGTCCAGGACCTTCTCAAACAAGGCCGTGCGGATCCACAGGTGCTTGATGGCAAGTGGGGACAGGTTGGGCAGTTTGGGCAGCTTCCGCACATTCTCCTGGAGGCCCTGGATCTGGTTTCGCCTTTAAGTAAAGAAAAGAACATATTCACAAAACGGAAAATCGAACAAGGGCAATATGCAAATGGAACAAAATGTTCAACTTCTCTAGGAAATAAAGAAGTGGCAACTAAAACAAACTATGTTGCTCCTGGAAAATGGGCAAACAGTTGAAAAAAATAATACCCAGTGAGCTTGAAGGTGCGGTGAAACAGACAATTTCACACACCGTTGGTGGGTAAGCCAGAATCCCCTACTGGTATTTCTCTCAATACCTACCTACCCACCTGTCTATCTGCTGGAAAGGAGTGCTGGTCATGGAGACTCTTGGCCTATCGGTCCTTCAGTGGCTCCTGACTGCCCTTGAGATGACAGGCAGGGCGCTCCGTGACCTTTCTCCCTTTCTCCAGCTCACCTCTCCTTCCACCCCCATCCCTCTCCTTTTCGACCCATGATCCAGCCCAGCTGGATTCATAGATTTCCGCAGATCCCTAAGGCCATCAGGCTCCCACCTGAGGACTTTCCTGGAGCTGCTGCTGCTTCCTGCCTCCCCTCCCCACCGCACACTCACTCCTCCGGTCTGAGCGAGGACACCCCCTCCGGCAGGAAGCCCTCTCAGACCAGCCAGAGCTGGGGGAGGGGCCCTCCCAGTGCCCCTCAGACTCTGAAGCACAACTCCCTGCTCACCTTTCTGTCTTCCCCTCCACATGTGACCTGAAGGGCACAGGCTAAGTGTTCCAATTATTTTTTAAAATATGCTTCCCGAGACTCCACCAGGGGGCAGGAATGGTTCCTCTCCATGCCTGCATCTTGGGGCCAGGCACGGTGCCTGGCACGCAGGAGGGGCCCAGTACACATGTGCATGAATGAGTGACAGCATGAATGAGTGATGGCACTCCCACACCCCCGGCACAGGTGTCTCTAATGCCTCCGTTAACGAGTCACACCCAATGTTACGGAAGGCCCATGGAAACCCACCCCTTTAAGAACTTATTATCAGCAACACCTGGGAATTTAGCAGATGGACTGCAAGGCACCTGAGGACCAGGTGGCTGAGGATGCAGATACCAAGTGGGGGCTGGCAGGGCCCAGTCCAGAGCCCTGCCCATCATGCAGTTCTGGCCAGCAGCCCTGGGTGGGCCGGGCCTGAAGGAGGAGGAAAGGGCCATTTCTCATCTGGTGAAGGGGGGTGATCACCCATGGCAGACACGGCAAACACATGGCATGCACGCCTCTCTCCCTTTCCTTGCCCGTAACAGACATGGTTAATCAAGCCATGCACTCTTTCCCCAGAAGCCCAATCACAGCTTCTGAATTTTTTACAACACCATCCTCCAGGCAGCCACTAACATGCACTGGAGCTGAAACCTATCTGCCACCCCTGACCAGGCTCCAGGTTGGGGGATTGGCTGTGCAGTCAGGACTCTGGGAGGGACCCTGGCGGGAGGCGCTTATGGATACACACTCAGGCCAGGGGCCTCCCCCAGCACACACAATCAGCCTGGAAGACGAGGGAGCGGAGCCACGCCCCCACCCAGGAGCCGCCGCGGTGTGCTTCCACGCGAGGCCCCGTGACAGAGGCCACACGTGCTCCACAGCACTCCGCTCGTGCTGCCCGCAGAGCAGGGCTTGGCTCACTGCAGGCGCTCACTCATGTGACACTTGTTTCTCGGGCATTTACCAGGTGCTAGGCTCTCCCCGATGCTGGGGACACAATGGGGAGTAACACAGATGTAGTTGCCTGTCCTCATGGAGTTCAAAGAGGGGAGACAGACAACAATCAAGTAATAGCAAACAAATAAATAATTCCAGATGGTGATAACCACTGGGGAGAAAATAAACAAGGTGGTATGAAAGAGATGTGGGGTGAGGGCTGGAATGTACCCCTAGCTGGGGGAGGGCCTGGGTGATCACAAGGAACCAGCCGCGGAAGATGAGTGACGTGCACCAGGCGGAGGACACGCGTGCGCAAAGGCCCTGGGGTGGGGCTAAGGAGCAGGAAGGCCCGACCTTACAGAGCCTGGGAAGGAGCATGGCCTGCTGGGGGCGCTGCCCCAGCCTGCCCCCTGCTCTGCACTCACGCGTTCTCGATCAGCTGCTCCAGGTCCTGGACCTTGCGGCTCAGCTCCTCGGCGGGCGGGAAAGTCTTGCCCACCTTCATGAAGAGAGCCGCGATCTTGTTGCTGCGCAGGAAGCCAGCCGCCCGCCGCCGCAGCCCGTGCAGGACGCAGGCCTCCACAGCCGCTGTGGGGACACAACGGTCAGCGGGCCTTGCCTTGCCCATGCTCCCCATCACGCAGCTCGGCCAGAGTTCCAGTCACACGGGCACCGTGGAAAGTCAGGGGCCGCCCCAAATCACAGCCTTGTGATGACGTCACAGGGGAAGCACAGGCGCCTCCCCACCTTCCACCCCGGCGAAGGCGGGGAGAGAGCTCCTGTCCCACACAGCAGACTGGGAGCTCACTCTGGTCAAGGTTCATGAGACAGAGTGAAAACACGGTAAGAGTTCCTCCGCGCTGGGCCCCTGCAGGGTGTCAGACCAGCGTTCAGGCTTGCCTTGCCTAACAACCCATGACAGCCCGGGACGTGAGAGTCCTACTCAGCGTCATCTCACAGAGCAGTGCGCCGGCGCGAGCCCAGCCGGGGTCACGTGGTGCACAAGAGGAAGATTGGGAAGCTCTGGTTGAACTGCGTGTCTTAGTTTTCCGCTAGCAACGACGTCGTTCTGAATGCGTGTCCACGTGCTGCCTCGTGGCCCACGGACATCAGATATTCTGGGCGAGGAACTCTTATCTATCTTCATTTTTACACATGTACCAAGCAGCGTTCACTGGCTTATGTGACAGTAAGTTAACCAGCTATTTGGGCTTTGTACCCAAGGTCTGAGTCTGCTGCCGGCTCACAGGGACCAGGGACAAACGGTGCCCCGCGGAGGTCCGTCCAGCCCCGGTCGGTGCCACAGAATCTCTCTCCCCCAACAACTCCGATCGGAGTTGCCACTTTCTATGGCTGTAGGTCTTTAGGCGACAGGTATGTTAGCAAATCCTGAATGCATAGTATTGGCAGATAAAATTGCCCAGGTGAAAAAAGAGTATATATATATCCTCATATTTATACTTGTGTGTGTATGTGTAGCACACCACTGTCATATATATGTGTATATACAGATACACACATTTGTATGCATCTATATCTCTACGTATGCACACATACATACATACTTAAATAAACATATTTCACTCTAAAAAACAAGATCATGCCAAGTCCACCAACAAAGAAGTGGCAGAGGCGGGATTTGAACCCAGGTCCGCCTGGCTGCAAAGGGGCTCAACTGACACCAGTGGGCTCCAGGTCACGGTATGCGCTCAGCATGTCACCGGCCCATGGGTGGCGTCCCCAGCCATCTGGATGGAAGCCGATGGGCCTTTCCACACGGCCAACACCGTGAGAGGGAAATTATAGCATGCCCTTCATTACGGGACACTGCAGTCACAAATAAATAAACAGCTTTTTGGGGAGAAAAAAAGGAACTTGCCCACTTCTATGTAGACACTGATTATGAGCTGAGTCCTGCCTTCGGGGACACGCAGAACGCTCTCTCGCCGGTAGGAGCCTGCAGCCAGACCCTGGCAGTGCGGCTGTCTCTGCCCTTGAGAGCCCAGCTGGTTCAAGGGCAGGAGTCCGAGTCACTCTGAGCCCCGGTCCTGCCTCCTCTGCTGACCCAGCAGGACCAGTCCCTCAGGGCTGTCGGCAGCTCTGACTTAATTCCGTTTTGTTTTTTTTAATTCCCCATCCATCTCTTCCTTCACTTGGCAACAGCTACCAGCAGAGCGAAGAAAGGACTGGCAAGAATGACGGGGAGCCCGTTTCTCGGACGCAAGACCACCGTCACTGGGGGCGGGGCCTGTGCGAACTGAGCCTGAGGAGGGGGAGTCAGGCCTCCCCTGCTAACCACGGTGACCCCGTCACAGGTACAGAGGTCGTGCGTAACTTCTCCTCTAGGCTTTTCTGCATTTCCCAGCTCCCTAAAGAAGTCCCTTTGGAATCTGAAAAGAACTTCAGTTACAAAGCAAAAAAGGGGCCTGAGGACCCTTGCTCAGACACGCCGGTTCCCGAAGGCAGCCCCCAGAGGAAGAAGCCACTTTTCAAGGCCACGGGCCATGGACTCACCACAGAAGGAGATGATGTGGCTGCTGTCTTCATGGACGAACTTGCGTGTGACAGCCTCCTCCATGATCTGCTTCACCTGGAAGGCAGAGGCAGCTGGAGGGCATGCCCCGCCCCTGGGGCCTGCTGGGGCGTCTGGGACGACAGGTCCATGCCCACTTTCCTTCCACTCCCCTTCCCCTAGGTGCTCTGCGGGCCCACGGCCTGTGGTCTGAGGTAGCTCCACGCTGCACATTTTCCTGCGTTATTCTTTCAGGCTCTTCCCATGACACACTTCTTCTCGGGTGTGACACAAAACGTCATCTAAGGCAGCCCACCCCCCGCCCACCTCCATCCGCCCCCCGTCACAGCCTCCCTGCTACAGAATACTCACACATTCCCGTCCTGTGTGTCTCCTTACTGCCCGTCTCCCCTTCTAGAACACACACTCCCTGAGGGCAAGTTCACTGCTGTACCCGTGGAGCCTGGCACAGTGCCTGGTGCATACTAAGTGCTCAATAAATATTCCTAACTGAGCGGGTGAATGAGTGAGTGAAACAGGTGTGTAACAGAACCAGGAGGGTGTCGTGGGGAAGTTCAGCCCTGGAACCCGGCAGGCCTGGTTTCAGGCCCCTGCTCGGCGTTTACCAGCCGGGTCTGTGATCTTAGTTTGGGAGACGGAGGCTCGGGGAAGGGAGGCAGTGCGCCCAGGGAAGGGGATCCGGCCCGAGTGGAGACGGGATTCCTCCCGCCGGTCCGACTCCCAGCCTACGTGCTTCTCCTGCTGCAGGCGGTCACTCAGCAGACACTTCTCGAGACGGTCAAGATGGTCAGGAGGTTCTACCGCTGCCTAGCATCCATTCTCAGGAGCTCCAACAGCGGCTCGCATCCCTCCCACGACGGGGCTCTCACTCCTTTCGGAACTGGACTAGCTCCAAGGACAGGATGTCAGGAGGCAGCACAGAGGGGCTAAGAGCCCAGAGTGTGGAGTTGCTGACCTGGGTCCAACCCTTGGCCATTCGCTGCCTGCCTGGGCCTGGCCGGGTCACCCGTGTGTGAAACGGAGTGGGCGGTGTCAGCAGCCCTGCCTCACAGGGCTAACGTGGGGCTTGGATGAGACCGCGGAGACGCACCTGCACGTGCATCTGGCACCCAGCAGGGAGTCACACACAGTAGGGACCCGAGCTGACACTGTCACTGCCTGGCCCGCAGTGGGTGCTCCAAGTCAGCCCACCCCCCTCACCGCTGGGGCGGGGCTGCCCTGGCCCCACCCCTCCACCCCAGACCTCTGAGTATCTGCCCACCCCACCTCAGGCCCCACCCTGCTAACCTTCCGGAAACCAGCCTGTCTTCCCGCCATCCCTCCCTCAACCTGCAAATATTTAAACAGCATAAAAGGAGGATTAATCTCAGGACGGAGTCAGGCAGGGAAATCCTGGCCAGTGTGCCAAGTGGGAAGGGGGGTCCCCTGGGGCTTCCAGGGCCTGCCACCTGCCCACACCCAGGTGCCCTTGAGCTGCCCACCTGGAACCCTGCCAGGTTCCAAATCAACTTGCTGCTCCTCCCTGCCCCGCCCCCACTCTGTGTGTGTCCGTGTCTCCTAAACTGAGGGAGGAAATAGCGTGACCCAGTGCTTGGGGCCATTGTAAGGATTACAGAAAACAGGCAGAGGGCCCCAACAGGGCCCAGCATACAACGGGCACCGTGCAAAGGGAGACGCTGGTGCACTAAGAGAATGAACTGCCAGGCCCCGGTCACACGCCAGCTCTGCATTAGTTGGGTGACTTCGGGACTCAGTTTCCTCATCTGTGAAATGGGCACAGCCCCCGCACCACCTGTCGGGGCTGCTCTGTGGGAGTGCCATAAACACACGCACCAGGCTCAGACACGGGGCCAGGACCCAGACGGCCCCGTCTGAAATAGAGCATCCAGCTTTACGCTTGTCCTTGGAACTGACCACGGCCAATTTTCACTCCACACCCGTGGGTTTGTGCATTTCGTGTCTGCGTGCCCAGCGGAAAGGATCGGTTTGGGGGTCGCTCTGAGTATACTAACGATCCCAGCACAGACAGCAATGCTCGCTGCGCACAGTTCCGGGCGGCGGCCTAGCCCCTCTGACACCGGATCTCGTCTTCCCTGCGAGTAAGGCCTGGTTGGCCAACTTTTCTGTGAAGGGGCAGATGGCAACCACTTCAGGCTCTGAGCTAGCTAGGCTTGCCAGACTGAACACAGGATGCCCAGCGAGACCTAAACTTTGGATTCGTTTTTTAGTATAAGTATGGACCAAATGTTGCAACAAACACACATGAAAAGCTTACTTAGTGTTCTTCTGAAATTCAGGTTTCACCGGGCATTCTGAATTTTCATTTGCTACATAAACGCGGCAAACCTATCTTCAGGCCACATCCAGCCTACGTCGCAGTCTTGCTTTCACAATGCTTTAGGAATGGAAAATCCATCCGTGGCCCGGGGGCCGTCCTCAGACAGGCTGGGTCTGGCGCCTGGGCCCCCTGGCCTACGGCACTGGGCGCAGGGCCAGAGGCACACAGCAGCCCTAAATGAGTGTCATCGAGGCTGCCACCTGCTCCTCGCAGGCCTGCTGCCTCAGTCCTGACTCAGAGCGCCCCCGTCCTACCTGGGGTCTCAGGTGGGGGCCGCTGGCAGCACTGCTGGGTGAGTCATGCTGAGCCAGCTCTGGCCTGAGAGGGTGGCCCCCGGGCACCCTGAGGCTCACATTTGTGAGAAACTTGGCAGTGATGGGGACGGTTAAATTAGGATACCTGGAGCACCTTGGGTGGCTTTAAAAATAACTCTCAGCGTGGAAGAGAAGTGGGAGAAGGGAGGGATGACGCAAAGGCCCCTCGACAACCACTGGGGCAGGAGGGTGAGCTGAGGAGGGCCGTGCCATGCCGTGGCTGCCCCAGCTGCCAAGAACAAAACGTGCAGGCCTGCGCAGGCCAGCAGCTGGAGCCCTGCTTCAACTCCCTGATCCCTGAACACGGGCCCCAAAGGGGCTGTCACGGGCTCACCTCCTTGCCTTTGCTCACGTTGTGCCTTCTGCCAGGGGCCCCTCCAAGTACGCTCCAGCTGGCTAACCTCAACTCAGGCTTCAGCCAGGTGGCACCTCTTCCTGGGAGCCTTCCTAGACTACCCACACCCCAACCAGGAGTAAGCGTGCCTCTCCCACAGTCCTTTGTAACACCCGCCTTCCCAGCATTCATCACACGAACCGCAACTGTCGCTCACTCATTTAACATTTGTCAGCACCTCCTATGTGCCTGGCTCCAGGCGGCAATCAGATAGTGTCCCTGTCCTCATGGGGGTCACAGTCCAGCAAAATGTAAAGGCATTCATTAAGTAACTCACACGAGTGGATAATATCTGCAAAATGAGGCCAGTTCTCTGCAGCAGAAGAACTTGGCTCTGTGACAACAAATAACAATGGAACTGGTGGGGAGGAAGGTCGTGGCGGGCTTCCTGGAGGTGGTGATGCTCCAGATCTGGGGTAACAGTGAACTCTCTGGGTCTCGGGCTCCCCAGCTCCAGAGCAGAGGGAACACTGTCCCCGTGCGCCTGCCCCCACAGAGCCGCCTTGGGGCTCATGGAAGGAACAGGTGCGAGGACACGGTGGTGGGGACAAGCACTACATGAGAACAGCTGGTGGTTCTTTATTTTTTAAGTTGTCATGGGCGAGGCACGCAGGAGGTGAGAGCTGGGAGGGGCCCGAATAGAGCCGATGGCGGGTGGGCGACACAGGAATCGTGCAGGAAGCTCCAAAGCACAGACGCAGACAGACGTGGTCCGGCAGGGGTGGGGGGGTGGGGGGGGTGGGGGTGTGCTGCCGCCCTGCAAGCTGTGACTGTTTCCCTGGTGCGGCCCGATCTTCGCTCCTGCCAAATCCCAGCCCTTCCCCTCCCCACAGCCCCAGCTCTGGTCACATGTGCCCTTCTGTCTGTGTGACCCACGTGATGCCCCCCCTGGCCTTTGCTTGCACAGTCTCCTGCACCCGATATCCCCCCATTCCCACCTCCAGCTCCAGCTCTGGAAGCGCTACCCACTCCTCAGGACTGGGAGTCCTCGGCTTCACGCCCTCCTTAGGCCTCCAAAGTGGGGGTGACCCCTCCTCTTCTGAGCTGCTAGAGTGACGCCCACTGCATAGCTATGAGCGTCCGGTTCTGGGGTCTAGCTTCCAGAATTCAGACCCCAGGCCTCGCCCTCAGGCTCTGGGCAGATCAGGGTCCTTCTCTGAGCCTCAGCATTCCCTTCAGCAAGACGGGTGATACAGCACCAGCATGTGCCTTACAGCTGTAGGACAACGCACCGGAAGCACTGCACACAACAGCAGCCACACAGTAAGAAACTGATACTTTGTTTCATGTAACCACAACCAGCACGGATTTATAAAGGATTTATAAAGCGTTCACCGTGTGGTGGCACCTGCTCCTCAGGCTAGTTAGGAGAGACGGGTATAATTACCCTCCACCCTTAACAGACAGGGAAATGGAGTCTTGATGAGGTTAAATGACTTGCCCAAGAGCATGCGGCTTCCAAACGGCAGGGTAGAGATTTGAACTCACGACTGACTGCCCTGGACAGAGCCTGGCGCACAGTAGGTTAATTCCTTCACTCCACAGATATCTGAGAGTGCTTCCCACAAGCCAAGGGGGGGGGGGGGCTTTGCATGCACGAGCCCGAAGCATCAGAACAGCCATGCACTGTGGGTGTCGTTGCTATCACTCCCGTTTTCCTGCCGAGGCAGCAGATCTGGGAGGGGCCAAGGTCACTGGTCTGCAGAGAGGCTGGGATGTGAATCACGGTCTCCTGCTCGCGGTCCCAGGTCAAGGTGGGGACCTGAGCAGCCAGGTGGTTGAGACGCCTGCTCCCTTAGCCCAACTCAGCCGAGTGTCCCGGCCACAGCCAGCGTGCTGCTCTGGGCGCCAGGGCCCAGCAGCGCCTGCCGCTCAACTTCTGCCCCGGCCATCACCTTTTCCCATCTTTCATCGTCCCTCCCAGGACCCCAGGGCCTCCTAGCTGCCTCTCCCTGTCACACGGTGAGGTTAAAAAAAAAAAAACAAAAAAACTCCAACGTGAAACAAAGTG